TTCTTATTTATAAAAAAAATAATTTTTTTAATTATTCTTAAGTATGTATTATAATAATATTTACTTATATATTATCATTTTACTTATTACTGTTTATCTATATTTTATAAATATAATATTTTTTTTCTTTGTAATATTTTATTTATTAGCGTTACTCACGTGGTTGCAGGAATTTTGGGAGACCAACGTTTCAAAGTTTATCGCTTTTACAAACAAAATTGCTTTCGAGAGAAGCTTTTTTTTTATTTCTATTAAATAGTAACCAATAAATTTATAAAATATAAATATTATTATAATTATAACAATGAAATTTATTTTTTGAACTATTTAATATGAAAAATAAATTTAAATACTAATAATGGTAATAAAAAAATTATACTAATGACAAAAAATTTGTTTATATAAATTTTTAAAATTATTATATTAAAAAATAAATAATATTATAAGGAAACTTTTAGGAATTGTAACAATAAATTTATAGTAATTTTTTGTTAATAATAAAATTTACGAAAGAAAGCTAGGTATAATTATTAAGGCTTTCATAATAATATGTAATGTTTATTTTAATAACACAAATAACCTTTTAAAGTAAAAAATCAATAAATATATAAATAATATTAAGTAAAAAACTTTTAAAAAAAAATTATTAAAAATTTATAGTAATGTCTTGTAAATATAAAAGTTTATGCCAAAAAGTAATATATAAAAACTTTTTAAGTTTTAGTAATAATAATGGTAGATCTTTCTCATGATAAAAAAAAAATATAGAGTAACTTGATAATAATAAAAGTTTGTACAAAAAGTATATTAATATAAACTTCTTAAGTTTTATTTTGTAATAATAGTAGAATTATTAATTAAAAATTAACAACTAATTTAAAAAATCAAATCTCTAGAAAAATATGCAAAAGAAAAAAGCAAAATATATATTTTTTATAATTATAATATTAGTTTAAAGATATTAGATACTGAATTAAAAAAGATTTTAATAATTAATTTATAACTACCCTTTAAGATAATATATTTTTTAATACTAATATTTATATATAAACCTTTCAGATAATATTTATAATAAGTATAAGATAATATAAAACCTATTAATAATGTTTATTGGAGTACTACTACATTTATAGATAAGCATTACATGTAATATTTATAATATACGTATATATATAAATAAAAAACTATTAATAATAATAATTATATAAGAAAACACTAATATACATATACTTTACAGATCTAATTTATAATTCATATATATATTTATGGAAATTTAAATACATTTATATAAACTTTCCTGGTAATATTTATAATAAATATATATTAGTATGAAAACTATAAATATAAATATTATTAACTTTAGTAGTAACAAGTATGGTTAGAGAGCATTTATTAATAAAATATTATAAACTTACTTTTTACATTCTTTTTTGAGCATATTTTTTTTTTTTTTGCAATAATCCAGTTTATTATTATTTGGCTTCCAGTCTTTAGAATAAAAAAAAAATAAACTTTAAAGTAAATTTATTATTTATAATATATTTTTTTTTTTAGTATTAAAGTTTATATAATTATATTTTGTAAATTTAATTTATAAAATTACATTATTATAAATATAAAAGTTTTTAAAATAATAATTACCTGATTTTCTTCTTCTATTTCGTTTGCAATAAATCTCGGATCGTCAAGTTTTTAGTTATAATTATTTGTAATAATAAAGTTTTATATATTGAATTATTATCATAATATTATAATTAGTTTATATTTATCGTATTAATTAAAAAAAATATGTAAAATTTAGACTTACAAAGAAACATAAAAAGATTTCTTATCAAAATGCGTTAGGCCGAGTCTTCTTAAGTAGATAAAGCTTATCGCTAGCAAAAACTTCAAAAGAAAGTATAAAGTAGTAATATTTTTCTTATAAAAGTTATACAGTACAGCATCTGAAGCTTCATAGTTTATATCATATTTTAGAAAATTGCTTATTTCCTTGGACTCTGAATTAGTTTTATTTTAATTTAATTTTTTTTTTAAAGCAAAATTACGCGATCACCGCACAAATCAAAAAAAGCTTCCAAGTATGAAAAGTTTATTTTCGAAAGAATCTTAACATCCACCCAATCTTTTTCATACGTACTTTTCTGATTCCTTTCTTCTTCGCTTTCGCTATGTATAAGCTCGTTGGTGTTAATCAAAATTATTTCGTTATCGTTTTCCTCCCAGAAATTTTTATATAAAATATCATCTGAAGATCTCCAGTTTGGCTTATAAGAAAAAAGATCTAATTATAATTATTAGCATTCCTTTTTGAAAAGTAAGCAAATTTAAAAGTTTATGTATACCTCTAATTTGCCAATCACTACTAATTTTAGAGTTTTTTTTCAGTTTTACTCTCTTTATAATTTTTGGTTCCACCCACGACGATGTTCTTTTAGTAAGCATCTTGTTTATATTTAAATATAAAGTTGAACTATTACTGTTTTATAAAAAAATCTTAAAACGAATACATAAGCAGTTAAACAATTAACTATTTTACTGCTTATGCGTAGAGAATTTATAAACTTTAAGAGATTTTAGAATAAAGAACGATAGTATGGATGTACATACGTATTTTTTTTAGTAATATAATAATCCCGTCACCTATTAAAGTGTAGTCTATCTCTTGTTTGTTAAGTTATCATTGTTAATGTTTTAAAGTATTTTTAAAATTTTAATAACTTTTTAATTTTAAAAAATTTAAAGATAATATTAAATTAACGGAAATACGTATACTAACAACTTTGAGGTGGATAGAAAAAGTTTTAAAGCTCGCAAGTTATTTTTTTCTCTTACCACTAACTGACTTCAAAAAATTATTATTCTTTACTTGTTTACTTAAAGTACTTATGAATACGAAAATTCTTGCGTTGTTTTTTTGAGATAATAAGTATTGATATGGGTATTATAAATTTTTTGCCCAACACACTAAAAATATTTTAATTTTGTTATTGTACTTCACTTTTAGCCGAAACAAATAAAGTTTTTTTTTTCAACAAGAGTAGTTTAATAAAAAAAATTCGTATTAAGAGAATGAATAATTCAACCAGAAATGTAAATAATAAAAGCCTTTTGCCAAAGTTTTTTGTTGGGATTCAAATTAAAAAACATCACTAAATTAATTGAAATAAAGGACCACAAAAATACTAATTTGCTTAGAAAAATACTTATTAGTAAAAAACTTTATTAAGTTTTTATCGTGCAGAAGAGAAGTATTTTACAAAAAAATAATTTATTATAAAACTATGGAGTGTCATAATAAATTTTCAAGTACCTTCTTTTTATAAAGAGAGAATTTGTTGTCTTAACAAACCACCTTATTTCCATTAAAAATACAAAACTTTATAGAGGTAACTTTTAAAACGGTTTCTTGTTATATATAATAAATTGTGCTACAACTTTTTTCAAAGTTTATTAAGCAACTTAATAGTGTGCGGCGTTGTTAAATTAATTACGCAAGTATGTTACTTGACTTTTCAAAATATTGCAAAAAATCCCGAAAAGCACTCTTTTTTAAATGAAAAAATCGATTTTTGTTTAAGCACCTATAACCGCTATTTTTTTTTTTATAGTTAATTAACAGTATATATAAACTTGAACTTATTTATACTTCAATCAACCTTTGGGAGGAAATAAATTAGAAAAAATGATATCAACAAGTTACATTAAAGAGATTTTTAAAAACGAAGTAAAATAAGAGTTGATCGGTTTAATAATTTTTATTTTTACTGTTCTATATAAAAGGTTTTTTAAAAAAAAAGTTAAAAGCAAAAATAATTTAGTAAGCGGTAATACAGGAGTCATGAAATTCAAAATGATCTAAATTGTAGATCTATTACATGTATAGAGGCCATAGCATATAAATTCTTAAACGTACTTTATTTAAAAATGACAAATTTAAGAAGTTATCAGCGAATCATATATAAAAAAGGGCTCAAACACCAGAATAAATTAAAATAGCTAAGCGAATAATATTTTGTTTATAATAACAAATTAAATGCTTAAAAAAAGTGTATTTAAAGTAAAGAAAATCGCAAGGAACGCATAAAAAATTAGTAAAGTAGTGTAAGTAATTTAGACGAAAAAAAAAATTGTGAAGGTAAAGTAAATTATTGTTTTTTTTATTCCTTGTAAATGAGTGAGTGTTGTTGTGTATTAAAATATTAGAGAAGCCCTTTTTCGTAAGATTATTATTGTTTTAGATCTAATAAAAAGTTAAACCAAAACAGTCATGACTAATATATTTGTATAAATATATAAAATTTTTATAATACAATCTTAAATCTATTATGTACACTACCTTATAATTACTGTGATTTTTTTTAACTGACCGGGAAACACGAAAATATTTAATATTAAAAAAAAAAAACGCTCCTTTTTTTAACTTCAATCTTTATGAAATTTTAACCAAGCCTTTTCCTAAGTGAAATTTTAGACTATTGCTTAAGTCTAATTAAAAGTTAAAACTATTATAGTTGAGACTAGTATACACATATATATATATGAAATTTTTTGTTGCAGCAAAAATCTATTTTGTACGTTACCTTGTAAATTAGTTATATTCTTTTATTTAGCCAGTTGAGAAACATGAAAATATTTTAAAAAAAAAATAAATGTTTATCTTTTTTAGCTCCGAGAGATTTTTAAGTGAAGCCATTTTCTTGTTTAAACTTTTATTTAGCCCCTGAAGCTTTTATAGTTTTAACTTTTATAGAAAGTTAAAAATATATTTATTTATATTAAAATATTCTCAATACAAGATTAAAATAATTATGTATGCTTCCTGTTGATAATGACCAGATCGAGCGCCAGGAAAATATAACTTTTATTATTAAATAAATTATTTTTTTTTAAAAATTCTGTTTACTGTAATTAAATTTTTGGTGAAAAAACATTTGCATATTTTTTCTACGAACCATTTTGTTATTCCTTTCAATTCATCCACACTTTTAATAATCTCCTTTCATTCGTTGTTCTTCTTATATCCACTCGTTAGTTCATTTTTAAAAATTAGTACTATTTTAATTAAAAATTTCATGAAATTAAAGAGCACTATTTAAAATAATCCTTGAAAACGAAAAATATGGATTTAAATGATTTAATTACTACCGAAATGTTCTCAAGCATTTTTAAGAATATATTATAGATCTATTTAAAATCTACTTAATTAAATATACTTCAAATTAACTTCTTAATTTTATTTTGGCTGTTTAAAAAAAGGAATTAATTTAGTAAAAAGTTCAGAAATTTAATTAGATAAAGTCGTATTTTATAGCATTTAATAAAGAAGTACGAATGACTTAAAACATTTGAGTTGCTAATAATAAAAAAACACAAAATTAAAATCATGAGATAGGAGAAATTGGTGAAAATTTTTAGAAGGGAGATGTACTTTTTTAATCTTAAACCTAGCAATACTTAATTAGTAATTAAAAAAAAAACTTTTATTAGAGATTTATTTGTTCAACTGCTTAGTAAAGTGAGTATGATTTTAATAATAATAATAATAATAATAATAATAATAATAATAATAATAATAATAATATTATAACATTTGACAGTATTAATATTAAAATTCAATTTGTAGGGTTTTATCTACTCTTGATTATAAAAGTCTGTTTAAATTTATAGTATTTCAAAAATAATAATAATGATTAATATTGTTATTTTTTGTAAAAAGTCATTTCTTCGTTATAAGTGAAATTCTTATTAAATTTATTCCAATTCGAATTCTTTTTTGAAATACTTTATAGTTTCTTGCAGGCCCTTTTTTACTTCCCATTCTGGTTTCCAGTTTAACTACATTAAGTAAGAGTGGTAATATTAAAAAGTAAACGTACAAACAAAAATCTATAAAATTATAATAATAAGCTCGAACATATGTTTTTGCAACAGTAATATCTGGTCGGCGCCGCTGTGGATCGTCCTTTACTTTCGGGAGGAATTGAATAGAAGAATTTGAGCGTGTAATGTCGATAATATACTGCAATTTATATTATAATTAATGTTATTTAATAAAATTTACAATCTATATAATAAATTATTTTTTTTACATATATATAGACAAGATACACAATTTATACTACCAATTATTAGTTTCATATATATAAACAATTTATATATTATTTATTTATTATTATAATATATAATTAAAATTTTTAATATAAAGAAAAAAATCACATTATTTATTTAATATATATTAACAAATTATACTTTTTTTAACTACATATGCTGTAGTTTTATATATATATAAAGTGTAAATATTAATATAAAATAATAGATATATTCTATTTATTTATAAAAATAATATTAATACTTATAGTTTTAAATATATACGTTATTTATATATTAATAATATTAAGTAAATAAAAATATTATATCAATAAAAGTAGTGAACTATAAAAATATATATGTACAAACTATATATTTTTTACTAATATTATTATGGTTTTTCTAATGTATACAGTTTATGTATGATTTATTATGTGCTGGTAAATGAAATATTAATATAAAAATAATTATTACAATACATTTTTTATAAATATATTAAAAAAGTATTAAAAGAATATATTTCCAATATTTATTATAAAAATTATTATTAATAATCTTAATTCATGAAGTTTATAAATGAATAGTTAAAATTATAATAAATAATTATAAATAAAAATATAAAAAAATAACGATAACGAATGTATTAGCAATAACATTTCATCACTACTTTATACTTTGTAATTCTATTATTACGGTTTATATAAAAAAAAAGTTTATTGAAAAATATTAATATAAAAAATATTCAATAATAATTACTTTTTAAAAACTTTAAAAATAATAGAAGAAAGATTAGGAAAAATGAAATAAATAATTGTTATATACCTTTTATATTGTACTTTTACAACTCTAATATAAAAAATATATAAAGTTTTAAAAGAAATGTTATAAACTTTCTTATTCTATAAAAAATAATTATTGGTTACTTTGTATAAACTTTAAAAATAATATAACTAAATTAAATTAATTGTTATATACTTTTTAATAATATAAAAAATATTATTAAGTAACGGTTCATATTATATAAATCTACATATAAAAAGTAATAAATTTTTAATACTATATATATAATAGTGATTATTGGTTGCTTATGAACCTTAAAAAATATGAAAACTTTATTAAAAAAATATAAATAAATCATGTTATATACTTTTTAATAATATAAAATTATTATTCGTTGTCGTTCATATTATAGAAATTATAAAATAATATATAAAATAATAATTATTAAGTACTTTTCTTACTATAAAAAATAAAATAAATTTTGCTATAATTTTTTTTTTCATTAGTTTTTTTTGGAAAATAATAATTTCATTAAAGTATTTTTTATTTTTTAGAATAATTTCCACTTTTAAAACTTTAGATTACTACACAAATTTATTATTAAGTTTTTAAAATAAAACTAATCGGTATTTGTATAAATTTTAATTTTTTATCATTATTTAATATTTTTTATTAATAAAAATTTTTATCCAATATTTACTTTATTTCAAATCAAAACTTTTAATAATTATTAATAAAAAATATAATATTAAATATTAAAAGTTATAACCTTTTTTGTTAAGTTGTATTTAACATTTATAAATGATACGAAAATCTTAATTTTTACTTTTTATATTTTATTTATATTTAATTAATATGTATAATTATTTATTTATGTTTATGTAATTTTCTTGTGAACTTTTTTTAATTAGTTATAATATTATAAATAAATTTTTTATTATTAGTTTTTACTTATTAATATATAATTTATATTTATTTATAAGTAATTATTATGTTTATATAATTTTCATGCATTATATATAAAGTTTAAATACTTTTATTCTTAATATAATTATGCAAAAAAGCATGATAATAATGAATAATATAATTTAATGTTTTTCGTATTGTTATTATTATTTGATTCATTATTAAATAAAAAATAATATTTAAAATGTCTAAAAAAGAATTTTTTAGAAATTATTTATAATAAATAATGTTTTATATATTTATTTGATATATTAATATTATTATTTGCAAAAGATACGCTTGCAAGCTGCACGATGGTGTACTCATCAGGGTTTCCCAAATTTACAGGAAGACTATAGTTTGCTTGAAAAGTAGTTTATATAAAAATAAATAATAACAAAAACAATAATAATAACATAAAAATAATTAATACAATTCATAAGAGCAATTAATCCCCTTACTAAGTCCTAAATATTACAATAAAATATTAATATTTAATAGTTATTTATATAATATAATAAATAATAATAATAATAATAATAATAATAATAATAATAATAATAATAATAATAATAATAATAATAATAATAATAATAATAATAATAATAATAATAATAATCGTTACAACCTTTACGTATTGAAAAGAACGCGTTTGCTTGCCGTCTCCATATATAGTTAAGTGTTCGCCTTTATTATATGTAATTTATTTATTATCTTTATTAATTATTTTATTTTATTATAAACCTTTTATTGCCTGGGCAATAAAGTTACTCACGACCCTTCCATCATTCGGGTGCATGCGAGGACCGAAAGAGTTAAATATACGAGCCACTCGAATACTGACATTCTTATATAAAAATTATCATTACTATTATTACTATTATCTTTATCATAATTATTAGATTTATTACCATTATATATTTTAGCACTGTTCGTACTGTTATTATTATCCTTATTACAAATGCTATTATTATTACTATTATAAATAATATTAACATCAACATTGTTATTATTGCTATTACGTATATATCGTTAATATTTATATTTCTATTTACTTCCATTATTATTGTTACTATCATAAATTAGTAAAAAACATTCATAAATATATTGAGTATTATTATTAAATACTTCTTGAGAGTAATAGGAGTAGCACAAAGTTTCGCTTATTCGCTTCCCTTCATCATAACAAGCACGCGGGCCAATGGGGTTAACATTACCCCAATATGTTTCCTAATAAAGAAATTCTATTAGTAAAAATCACGTGCTTTACTATTTATAGTATAGTCTATTATTAATATTATTATTATTATTAACTTTTTGAGGGTGCTGTACGGGATCTCCATACACTTCTGAGGATGAAGCGAGGAGCATAGTTGCTTTAATGCGTCTATTATTGTATGTTAATACTAAATAAATAAACACTTTTTCATTATGATATACTTTTTTATAATGAACTAATAACAATAGTAATAATAAATGAATTAGTATATAAAAATACCACTAATTTGTCAAAAAGTTTTATGATAAAGAAAATATCAAATTTTTATATATATAAAATGATAATACAAAGTAATTTATTAAGTGTGAATACGAGAAATTATAAAGAATTAAAACTTTAAATATATATTTTTTATAAAAAAAGTTAAACATAAATAATATAAATATAATTATACTAGAGGAGACTTTTAAAATATAATAACAAAAAATATTATGTAACAAGTATATAACATTCAATTAATAAAGTATAAATATATATTCGTTTCAAAAAAATAGTCACGAATTTCTATTATAAGGTTTTAAATCTTCTTTGAATAAAAAAATGTGTATATAATTTATATCATTAGGAAAATGTAAAAAATATATTTATAGACTTATAAAAGTATAATAATAATATAAAGAATAATAAAACGTAAAAATAATGATAAAAAAAAGGCTAACAGCATAACACCTGGCCAATCCGAGCATGTTCATTGTGCCCAGTGTGTTTGTTTTAATGGTTTTTATTGGATTATACTGATAATGGGTGGGAGATGCTATAAAAAAAGTTTATCAATACGATAAGAAAGGAAACTACCATAATTTGTTATATTATATTTTTAATAATACTAATAATTATTAGTAAATGTAATCAAATATCATAAAAGAAATTTATAATAATAGTAAAAAATTTTGAGAAGTTTGATAATAAATAAAAAAAGTACGAACATATTACTAACTAATAATTAAAGGAAAATAATTATCTATAAAAATAAAAATGATTAAAAAACATGAAATATAATAATAATAAATAAAAGTAAATAAAAATATAATATAAATATACATAACAGTATATAATAATTTTTAATGATAATTTTCATATGAATGCACATAATAACATGTAAAATTAAAAATATAAAAATATTTAATATGTTAATAATAAATAAAAACTTATGAATACCTGTATACTATTAAATAATAACAGATATTGCATATAGGTATTATAATATTAAATAATTAAAATAAAAAAATATAAATATAATAATTTATAGTGAATAAATATAATATTATATAATATTAACAGGTATATATATATATATAATAGTATATAACAAATTAAAATAAAATAAATAAAAGTATTAAATTAAGTAATAAATGTTAATATGAAATAAAATAATTCTAACATATAAATGTAATAATATAAAATAAATAATAATTTTAGTAGAATAATATATATAAATGAAAATAAATAACAGGATATGAATTAATAAAGATGATTTATAATACAATAGATAATAATAAACTATTGATATTTATATAAATAATAATTATAAGTAATAACCGGGACAAGCTAAATGATATATTTGATCAACTTCCAGTAAGTACGGTTCTATAGTTATTAAATATTATTATTAGCAAAAAAAAGTTATAATTAGTACTTATTGATAATAAATCATAATAAAAAAATTATATTAAATAATAATAATAAATGGATAATAATAAATAATAATAAACAGTAATACACACATTGTGAATAATTTTTTTTTTTCGAGATAAATAATAATTAGACCGATAAGAATGAAAGATAAAAGTTCATTAGTCCCTTAATAACATACACCAGAATAAACTTATATTAATGCCGACTGCTAATAAGCCCGTAAGATAGTAACTATCTTTTAAATGGGGTCCAAGCCTCGTAACCGGTACCAAAAATTTGAGCTGGCATAATCATTAAGCATCCGATTATAATTTTTATTTAAAAAAAATTAGACGCGTTATTTTGTACACATTAAAATTCCACTATTAAAAATATACCCAAAAGTTAGTAAACTGCGACACTTAGATATACTACTTAATAAGAGTCAAAAACGTCGAATGGCAATATTGATGAATTTTAACTAAATTGTGAACTTTTAATTAAAAAAGAGAGTTAAACTGTACCCGTAACGTCGTGATGGAGAAGCGCGAAATTGGGATGGCCAATCCAGTGCTCTATCTTTTATTTAGTATTTTTATTATTACAATTTTTATTATTTCTATTACTATTACTAATATTAGCACTTATATTATTCTAATAGTGTTAAAGTTTATTTTTAGTAAACCTCTTAATTTCTAACGCACATATAATTATTATTATCATGATCATAAACATTATTACTATTATTATTACCCACTATTATTGTTGTTTTCTTGTTATAACTATGTATTTATAATATTTTTTTTTATAATTATTATTATTAAGGTGTTCCTATTAATATTATATCCTTTTTAACTCCCTAACATTTTTTTTCTTATTTCATTACTATTATTATAACTCATTTATTTTTATTACTGTTTTTATTATAATAATATATTTATAGTGTAGAAAAAAAGTGTTATTATTTTTTAAAAATAGTATTTATATTTTCAGTACTTTTTCGTTTTTAATTTATTATTTATTATCTTTATTAATTATTTTTAAAACGCCTGTTATATTTATTTCTTATTTTTTTTACTACTATTACTAAAATTTATTTATTGAAAATTATATATTTATGATATATAAATTTTTTTAAATTAGAAAAAAATTTTCAATGTTTACTATAAAATTTATCAGCGATTACTATATTTATAAAGTTTTGGGCGTATTATTATTTTATTAGTATACACGAAATAACGTTGCAACGGCGTCCAGTATAAAAGTTGTCCATCACGTAAATCTTTAGAGAAAAAAATATTAAAAAAACATTTTCATATATAATAAAACGTTCTTCTATATTAAATATTATAATATAAATATTATTTTATATGATAAATTTAATAAGAAAAAGTAATATAAATAGAAATGAGTTTTATTAAAAGTAAATTATTATAAATAAAATATAAATTATTAAAGTTTTAATACTACTCTTCTAGTAATAATAATAACAACTTTTAAAATATACTTTATATATATTTTTTTTATTTTTATTAAAGTTATAATAACATAAAAAATGGAAATCTTAAATAAAAGTGTTATATATAATTAGAAGAAAAGAAGAATTTAAGTTTTATTTTAATAATATTAATAATAACTTTAATTATTTTTATAATAAACTAAAAAAATTTTAATATTTAAAAATAAATTTTAAATAAAAGTATAACAAATTATTGGTGATGAAAAATATCATTAAAGGTTTTTTTTGAAATAATAATGATGATAATAATAACTTTAAAAAGTAAATATTATAAAAGTTTTTATAATAAAAAATTTTTAATATCCTAGTTTTATAATTTCTAATAACCATAACAATATTTAATAAACCTTTTTGCTATATAACTTTAATAATAATAATTCTAAATTTATATTTAATGAAGTCCTTAATAAATTTTTATTACTTTTAATAGTCATATAAAATTAAGTTTACTGAATTTATATAGGTAAATACTTTTAAATAATAATATTAAAAAAAAATTTATAAAAATTCTAAACTTTTAATTATAACATGAAATTTGGTTTAATAAGTTTTTATAAAATTACAAATAATTTTAACAATAAAAATGTATGAATTTAAGTTAATTAATCTTAATGATTTTTATAAATATTTTTTAATAGAAAAAATATGTTTTTTAATTATTTTATTAAACTTCTTACTTTTCTTTACTAATAATAATATTTTTTCAAGTTTTATAGTGAATTTTAATACTTTTTTTAGTAAAAATAACGAATTTTCTATAAAGTTTTATACTTTTTAGTGGAAATATAATTTTTTCATGAGTATTCTCCCATAAAAATTTATCATCTTTCATTATAATAATATAGTAATGTTAGAAGTTTTGTTTAACAAGTATTTAGAAAAGTTTCTGTATTTTTTATAAAAAAATATTTTAAAAAGTTATATTAAATAAATCTTTTTAATGAAAGTAAAAGAAATAATAAAAAAGTAAAGTGTATATTTATTATTACTATAAAAAGTAAATTACAGTAAAAAGCAAAGTAAAATTAAGTTTTTTATAAAAAGCACAAACAAAAATCTTTATAAAAGTAAAAGTAATTATTTTTATATTAATAAAAAAGTAAATATATATAAAGAAAACTTTATTGAATAAAAAATTTTTTTATACTGAAGATTATAATCATTTCATACTAAAACTACTATTTTATTATAAATTAAAAAATAAATGAAAAAAAATAAAAAGTTTATTAGCTCTTAGAAGTTTTTATAAAAGTAATATATTTTTTATACATATGTATTTTAAAAAAATGTAAAACTATTTTATATGATAATAGTTTTATTAACCCGAAAAATATAATCAAATTATTAATATTTTATAATAAAAAATATAAAAAATAAAGAAAAAAGTTTATTAGCTCCTAATAAATTTTACTAATAGTAATATATTTTTTGTGGGAATAATAAAAGAGTAAAACTATAATAAAAGTTTTATTATTCCAAATTATTAATATTTTATAATAAATTATATAAAAATTAAAAAAAAGTTTATTATCACTATTAGGAGTTAAATATTTTATTATATAAATAATAAAAGTTTTATTATTACAACAATTATTATCAATTTATACCCAAATATTTAATATTATATAATAAATCATATAAAAAATAAATTATTAAAAAAGTTTTAAAAAATAAACCCAAAATATTCATCACAATATTATTTTATTGTATAAATATAATAAAATAAAAAAAAGAATAATAATTTTTGTATAAGTTTATAATATAGAAAATTATAAACATTTCATATCAAATTATCTTTATTTTACAAAACATATAAAGTACAAGAAAAACTTATTAGTTTTTAAAAGTTTTAATAATAGAATAGATATATATAATCAAAAGATAAATAAACTTCTACTAAAAAGTCATTAAAATATTAATAATCATAACTATAATATATTAAAACATTAAAATAATATAATTTTTATAAAAGTTTTTTTTGTAATAGAAGTAAATAAATAAATAAAAAAGAGAGGCAAACAATTATCGAAAAAGTTTTATTATAATATAAATAATATAAGAAATAATAAAAAGGTAAAACAATTTTTATAGTATAAGTTTTCCTAAAATATATAAATAAGATAATGGAACAAATTTATAATACATCTTATAATAAATAATTAAAAAATTATAAAATAAAGGCTTATTCTTATATTAATAAATAAATAAAGAAAGTTTGAAAAAAGATTATTTAATAATAATAAAATAAAAATTAATATTACAAAAAACGTTTTTTTTGGTATATCAACTATAAAATAAATAAAAATGTTGCATAATAATAATTATTATTATACTTTTATTAATATATTATCATAATATTAAAAATAAAAAAGGTAAATCTTTATAAATATATATTTAAAAATAAACTATTTTGAAAAAAAAACCTCGTGACCATCTTTCATTAAAACGTCCACTAAATGACTCCCTACAAACCCAGCACCCCCAGTAATTAGTATTCGCTTTCGGGAGGAAATGTCTCGTTTTTTAACTGTTTATTATATAAATAGTTTAATCTAAATATAATTATATAAAGGTAGTATAATAATAATTTTTTATATAAAATTATAAAATATAAATAAGTTTATTATATATAATAAAAATGATAACAATTAATAAAGTATTTTTAAATAACAATGAAAATAATACTAATACGTTAATAATAAAAATATTACTTCCTTTACCTTTATCAATTTTTACAATAATAATAGTAAATATAGATATTAATAAAAAATTATTTTAGTAATAATTATATTTAACAAAATTATAACTTAAAAAAATTGCATATATTTTTTTATTAGTATAAAAAAAATACTTTAAAAGATAGTGAAAGAAAATCAATATTAAAAAAAAATTATTGTATAAATTTTTTTAAATACAATAATGATTTTTTACTGTAAATTTTTAATTTTTATTATTATTATAATAAAATATATTAAAAAAATAAAAAATTATCGAATAAAAAAAAATGATTATACAATAATCCTTTACTTATTTAGATAATTATAAAAAATAAGTAAAAGACAAAATCATTACTGTAATAATAACTTTTTTAAAAAATATATGTTAATTTTTTTTTTAACTTGAAAATATTATTATAATAATAATAAACTATATAAGAAACAAATATAACAATAATATAAATTTTTACTTTTATAAAATAATCATATTATTAAGTATATATTGTTATAAATTTTGATTAATTATAATTTTTTTTTCTAATATATTAATTTTCTATATTTCATATAAATTATAATTATAATAATTATTTTATTTAAAAGTTAATACTAAAATATTATATTAACTGTGTTTATTATAATAATATTAAATTATATTATATTAAAAAAAATAGTACAATAATATAATTCTTTTACGTTATTAAAATAAATATATTAAAAAAATTTAAACTAAAAAAATAAAAATTTCCTTCTTAACAAATTTTTTAAAATAATGGAATAAAATTAAATAAAAATTGTGATAATATTTATATACAAAATCATTATGATAATAATTTTTATTAGTAAAATAAATACAATTTATATTAACTTTTTTTATTATTATTCATATTAATATATTAAAAAAAAATTTTTAATATTCATCGCATTTATATAAATTTATGCATAATATAGTTTTTCATATTAAAAGTTTGTTTGCCAAAACTTTTTTTTAAGTTATTATTAAAATATATAAAGGAAAATATACTAGTAATATAAAATATTGAAAAAATGGTTTAATATGCTAATCTTTTTCACTTTTTAAAAATAATGATAACGTATATTTAATATTAAAAAAAAGTTTATTATATAATATTCTATAAAATTGTATGACATCCTAAATTTCATTACTTTATCAAAGTAAATATAAAATACTTTATATTGTACACTAGTAATACACTAAATCTCTTACTTTATCGAAATATTTATAAAATACATTATATAGTAAAATTTTTTATATAAATATAACGTAACAAAAAAAAAATATTTTATATTTTCATTTAATAAAATTAATTTGATAATTAAAAAATAATTTTGAAAAAATTACTGTAATATTTTTAAATTTCAATTCATTAATAAAATAATAAATTGAGTTTGAACAATAAATTAAAAACATTTTTTAAATAAGTTATGACCATCACTCTTATTATATAATGAATTAATAATAATAAAATATTTATTAAAACAATAATTATCATAATATCCTTTTTAAAAAAAAAATTAATAGTAATTATAATATAAAAAAATAATTTTTACTTATAAAAATAAACATTATTATTACTACTATTATAAAATATATTCATTAATAGAAAAAAATTGTAGTTGTTATATTTTCAAAGTTTTTATATCAAATATAAAATAAATATTATTATAAAATAAATTTAGTATATTCTTTAATTTTAAGTGTTATAATAATGCCATAAAAATAACGTTTTTATTTACATAATAAGTAATAATGAAATGTTTATCACGTAATGCAATTATCATAATTATCTAATAAATCAAAGCTTAAAACCCGCCGTCTAGCAAAAAAAAGTGTAAAATTCAAGCAGATATCATATTTGACCAACAATATTCAGTATTAAAAAAGTTTTTTATTGTCTAAAGAAGCCAGTTCTTAACCTCCTGAGAAATGGCAGTATTCCAAACAATCATAGAAAACTGCTGCTGAATTATTTTGACGCCAATGGAGAACTTAACCTATCGGAGACAAGGATCTTGACACGATCCGTAAAGATCTCCTGGCATTAGTGGATGAAGATTGTTGCCGAAATGTTGATCCTTACTATTTTTAAAGTTTAAAAGCTGCGGGACAATATCCAAATTTTACTTTTTATTAGCTTTATATAATCTTCAAAAGTTGCATATTTTAATTTAAACGTCCAACTCTTTTTATATTTTTACTTATTATCAAAAGATACCATCTCCGAATTCTGCTTGCTAGACAAAAATATTAAGGGATGTTTATACCGAATTGTGATTGGCGATGAAAAAAGAATTTTTTCAATAACTTTAAACGCCGAAAGACTGTTGTCGATCCAAGTAAACCATCAACGTCTACGCCAAAACGCAATACACGTGAAGAGAAGGTCATGCTCTTTTATGGTGGGACCAGAAAGTATAGTATCTTAGTAAATACTGTAACTTGGCCAAACACGATCTTTACCAATAGTACATGTTCCCTATCAGTCAAGCATTGCGTGCAAAAAAGACAAGCATAAAGTAATCGTGCTCATGACTGTTAAATAATACTACCCTAGAACAACAATTGCTGCCATATAATCTTCATAGGGATGATGAATCTTGCGTCCTGAGTCAGGCGCAATACTAATATATATTTTACTCGTGAAGCTCAATAAAGTTCATCTCGTTTTATTTCTTCCTCTTGCTCACGAGTTTTTCCTTATTATTATTTTGAAGCCGTTTATTTAATGTATTTATGAATTATTTACCAGTAATAATATTCGACCCCGCGTCACTAAGGGTATTAGGGAATCTCAGGAACCACTTCGCTGGGAAGTTCCACTCCATGGGGCCCCAGACTGCGCTCCTTCCGACTGTTACGTGCTTGCTGAAAAAATTTTGACTTGTACGAAAACGTCGAAGGATGGGTCTTTGATTGGACAACCGCTAAAGATGTGTCGTTTTTTCAAAGAGGGATCGCTGGGTGCCAAAAAAGTGGGGAAAAGTTTTATTTAAAGACGGCCAATAGTTTGATTGATGTCTTTTTCTTATTGGTTCTTTTAATAAAGAGTTTACTTTAGTTTAAAACGGCAGGTTCCAAGTTATTAGTTACTACATCTCTAAAGGTTTTTAAATTTTTATAAAAAATGAAGTTTATAACCTTTTGGCTATTTAAAAACTTATAGATTAATAAATTATTATATTAAATTTTAAATCTTTAATATAAGTTACTATGATGTAATACTATTATAATTGCATAAAAGAGTAACGTTTTATTTAAATGATACAAAAGTTATAGTAAATCTTTTTATAATAATATACTTATTTAAATATTATATTATAATAAAATATATTTATAAATAGAATAAAAATTGTGCTTTTTACTTTTTAAAAGTTTTTTATTAATTCATTTATAAATAAAAATTTTTTTTTATTTTATTAAATTTTTTTTAAGTTATTATTATTGAGATATTTATTATATAATTTAACTATATTAATATAAACAATAACTTTTTTATAAATAAAACAAAAGTTATAATAATATATATTTATTGATAGAAAAAAATTGTATTATAATTTTAAATGTTTCTTATTGAAAATTATTATATTTTGTGAATTTTATAATATAAATATTATTTTATTTATTAAATTATATACAAATATTATTAATAATATACCAATAAAAAAAATTTCTTATATCTCAACTATTTTTTATATAAAAAAAATATTTTTTTATTAATTATATATAGTAAATTTTATATTATTTAAAATATTAATACATAGCAAACCATTAATGAAAATAATTTTTAATATATTGCTAATTAAAAGTTATTAGAATTATTATTAAAAAAACTAAATGCAAACTTTTCAATTCTTAATTAAATTAATTATAGAATAACGTATTAATAAAAATAAATTAGTAATAACTGATTTATTAGTTAATAATTAATAACTATAAGAAAAGATATTATGTTAAATAAAATTCCTTTATCCGTAAAAATAAAATCTAGAAATTTTTACATATTTAATCTTAATAATACTAAAAAGTTTAATTAAATATATTTTCTATTATATACAACTATAAATAATAATAAATTTTTTAAGCAAACTTTTTTATAGTTATAAAAATTTTATAGATTAACATAAAATAATATATCAGTAGTAACAAACTCTTTTATTAATAAACAATTAACTATGAGAAAATATATTTTATGAAAAGAAATATATCATTTTCATAACAATAAAATTTAGAAACTTTTCAAACTTAAAGTTAAATATTACTAATAAAAAATTTAAAAAATATAATTTTCTATTATTTATTACTTTAGACGATGATGAATTTTTTACTGAAACTTTTATATAATTAGAAAATTTTTATAGGATAATATAATAATTATAATATATTAGTAATAAAAAACTTTTTTATCAATAATAAACTTTTAAAAAAATAAAATAGTAATAACTAACTTCATTATACCTTTTATAATTTATAATCATTATTAATGAAAAGATTTAAATATACCTTTATTAAAAAAATAGTCACTAATGAAATAATTTTAGGTAAATTTTATTTATTATTTACATAATAATAACAATAAAATTACTATGATAGTTCCATTATATTTTTATTATTTTATGTTATTTTTAAAGTTTTTTCAATCAAATATACTTTTTCTAAAAATACTATAAAAAAGTATATTTTATTATCTAATGTGAGAATTAGTATAATAGAAAACTTTTTTATTATAATATATAATTATAAATAATTTTATTGAAATACAAAAAAATATTGACTTATTTTATGAAATTCAAGTAAACAATTAAAATAATAGAAAAAATATATTGCATAATAGAATATAATAAAAAATAATTTATTTATATAATATAGTATAAATAACAATATAAAATATAACTATTTTATAATAATTAATAATAATTACGATTATTGTGTGATAATAATGACATAAGAAAACTTTTTGGAGTCAATTAAAAGAAGCAAAAAAGAACATATTAACTTTTTTTTAAAAATACTTTTATAGAGTTTATAAAAAAATAAAATTTATATATATATAATAGTTCGAACTATTTTTTTTTTATATAATAATAAAAAATTATTAAAAAGTAGAATTTAGCAATGGAAATTTATAATTATCGGTATTGTTGAGTCCTTACGATTTCACTATAGCGCCTTTTTTTTACATAATAAAAGGAAAGTAGAAGTAAACTTTTTAATATATTACTTCGCACTACACCCGAAAGATTTTTAAATCTCTAAAGCAAGTTCGTTATATTTATGGTTATATACGCTACATACGTGCCCACGCGTAAAACATCTTTAAGTGATGTCATTGCTTAAGTACATGCGATTTTTAATCTAACTTTTGTATTTATTCGTGGTGAACCATTAGAGTTAATTTAATAAAACGCACATGACTAACAGTAGTGAAAAAAAACAGTATTAAATTTTAACCGTACTAAAATCAGTCCTTTTTTCACTAAAAGTAAAAACTTTGTGAAAAAAGAATTTAAAGTTATTAAAAATAAACGATCTGGAAATGTTAAGTTTGCTGAAGATTTAAATTATTTAGTAATATTTAAAAAAATAAATAGAAAATAGAAGTTTATATTTTTCAGTAACCAAAAACAATTATATTCACTAAAGCTAAAAGCATGTAAACTTTTTTAAAAAAACTATAAATCTTGAAATAATCTAAAATTTAAAGGTTACTATAAATTAAGTAAATTAAAAATAAATTAGCAAATAAAAATTTAAACTTCCTTAATAAAAAAACCTATTAATAAATTTACTTTATTATAAACTGAAAGCATATAAACTTTGTGAAAAAAATTATTTTAAAATCTAAAAAAACTTAAAATTACTAAAATTAAAATGACTTTAATAATAATTTCTTATACAATAAATTAAAATTTAAAAAAAGCTTATTGATTAATAGTAAATTTTCAATCAATTTATAAAAAAAGGATTATAATTTAATTTACCGGGCAATAAAGTTTTATTAAAGTTTAAATAAAATGAAGGCAATTAGCCTATAGGGAAAAGATTTAAAAATTTTAAGTATAAACAACTTTAAATTAGCTTAAAATTATATTATAATAAATTTCATAAAAAAATAAGTTAAATTTAAATAAGTTAAATTTATATAAGATTTATTAAATAGTAATACAGTTAATTAAAATATGTTAAGTGGGTAAATGAATATTTAATCAATCTATAAAAAAAGATTGAAAATTTTCTTTACCAGGTACAAATATAAATTGCTTAAGAAATCAAATTTAAAATAAATTTGATAGTTTATAGTTATTTTTATATGAAAAAAGCTAAATGAATAGAAGGTTAACTAATTCTAACTATCAATTTATAACAAAACAAAGAGATTGAAAATTACCAGGCTCAAAAACTTTATTAACGTTGATAAAAGAAGTTTCTTTGAAAGCTCGGTTAAGCCACGTGTTCATTTCTTCGAGTTTTTGCTTTACTTTTTCAAAATCGCCGGTTGTAACTTAACGAGCATTTTTTAATAAAAGATGAAAGTAAATTTAAAAATTAATAAAATTGTTTCCTTCGAAATAAAGTTAACCTAAATCTTTTCTACACTTTTTCAAAAGAAAATCTTCTTTATGGTAATGCGCCCTCCATAATAAAACTTTATAGTATTAGTATAAATTGTAGTAATCCGGCATTAAAAAATTAAGTTTTTCTTTTTATTTATATGAAAAGTTAACTATTATGTAATTTGTTTTAAGGAAAGATTTAAACGATTTTTCAAAATATAAAATTCTAACTTCATATTCTAAACAAACTCGACTAAAATCAAAATATTACTTTATTAAAAAGTTCTTCTGTTAATACAAGTTCAGTATTAGTTTTACATATATAACAAATAAAAAAACTATTCTATAAATATTATATTATAAAAAATCTTATTTAATTTTTGTTATGGATTTTGATGGTATTAACATTGTTAGAGATGTACACACCCATTAGCATAACAAATCCTATAGAAAATAGCAGCACCAGAATTTTAAAATGATGACCAGAAGGGGACATCATAGCTAAAATAAAAAAACTGTAAAAAATCATAATCATATTATTAAAAGTTAAATTTTTCCAGATAATAACTTTTTAATAAAATAAAAATATAAATTATATTAAATTAGCAAACCTTATTACCAAAAAGTATTTAATTTCTTTTCTTTTTATACACTTATGTTTCCCAATTCGTATAAACTATTGTTATTATGCTTTTATACTTAAATATATCAATACTTTAAGAAACTTAAATTTTTTATAAATGTTCTAAATTTAATAAGATATTACTAAAAAAAATTATTAACTTTTATTCTAAAATAATTTTTACCGAAATACATATAGTAATTACTCTACGCATAATAACTAGAAGCATTTTCTTTAGTGATAAAAAATATTTTACTTTTTATATTGGCGTTGGCGTGATGTATTAACGAATCACACTTGAAGGCTCCAACCCTTTTTTTTTCACGAATCTCAAAAATATATATGCTTTTTATAACTGAACCTGTACTGAGCCCTTTCTATCATATAAAAATGATAATTATTTTTTTTTTCTATATAAAAATAATTATAATTTTCTGTTTGCAAAGACTTATTATGCAAGAAAAAAGTTAGAAATGAATAGGTTTGGTACTAACAGTAGCTTGTATAATTAATTTTAATTTAAACTACTTGTTCTCTATCTGTTAAACAATGTATATATAGTATTCTTTTAAATTTATTGTATATATGATTGTAACTTTGATGTAAACTGTACAACCTACAAACTTTTCTCTGCCTACAAATAAAATTTATTTGTGCCTTCAAACTTTAGATTCATTTAAGGAGGCTTTAACTATAATATTTTACTTTCACATTGGATGTCGAATTAATAAAGGCTAAGAATGTTCAAGGTGAGGAATATATTTTAAAAACACTTAAAAAAAAAAAGTAATGACCAATTTTTTTTTAATGCACTTGAAACCGAATTTAGTTTTTAAAGTAGTGTTTCAATGCATTGTTTAAAATCTGTATCTTAACGCTACAAGTGTTAAGGCAACAGCGTCATCTCAGCGCACTTTATTGCCTTATAGATTATTCCATTTATCTTAAACCTATAATTCGAGGGTTTTATTATAGTTAACGCCATTAAGTGCCTACCATAAAAATATTAACCTTATTTAGTTATAATGAGACGCAATTAATTATTTTCTCTTCTCTCTTGCAGGTATATAAATTAAACGTCTTCTCGGGTGGAACGGATTTGCTGAATTCTTTATAGTAAAATGCCATCTTTACGTGGTTAGAGTTCTCTTGTTCTCGTTTATTGTCTGCGATCTTCTTAATTCTATTTCTACGGTCTTAGTATCCTTAGTGCGCTCGTTTAGTTTACCTGCGATTTAGTTCTATCTTCTTTGCTAGCTTGATGGTAGTTCCAACTTTATAGTTGTCTTGGTTATAACAATAAGACAACGTAATAACTCTCATTTAACCAATGATTTCTCGACTCAGTATTTTAGCGTGCTTGTTAAGTTATTGAAGCTACTCATAATACCTTAAGGTAACTTGTTTAGATTATGTTGAGATTGTACAGAGCTTAATAAAAGTCTACCCACATAATATTTAATAGAAATTATATATTGTTCCGATTGTACGTTACACGTAAGAAAGTTATTTCATTACAATTATTCAGTAGTAATTAATATTTTTATTTAATAAATAAATTATTAATCAGTACTTTTACCTTAGAAAGTTTTATCTAAACAATAAATTTTACTTCGTACCCCGCCCCCCACCCTCATTTGAAGATTTATTTAACTCAGCCTATTTAAATTAAATAATTCGAAAAGTTTACTAAGGGACCTACCAAGAAAACTCAGCTATATAGCAATTAAAAGTGAGAGTATACGATACGGTATATACTATATAGCTTTGATATAATACTAAAAAGAATTTTATTATTATAATAACTACCTCTTATGACGAGTTATCAAGCAAAGTTAAGTTAAAACCAAATAAACTTGGTGAAGGAAGAGCCCAGTAGCTTCTTTTAGTTAAACTGAATGCTTTTACGCAAATTACACAACGGGCCAACTAAAATTATACTATTTTTTTGACTATATTTAAATGTATATATAATAATAAGAAAGCTGGTTATAGCTTTTAAATATTTTAATGTTTAACGCATCATCGTTTATATATAGTAATAACTGGAAAATAACAATATTAAAGCGTCTATGAGCCCAGCAGAAACATGTTCTTCTTATATTAGTACAATTCTCCAGTCAGATTTCTAGAAACAGTGGAGTACTAGTAGGGTCATTTAGTTTTAATTATATTAAAGTTCAATCAAAGCCTCTATCCAAAAATCCTTAAACAATACTAACAGTAGAAAATAAGCACAAGTGCTATTTCATTCTCACTAAGTGATACAACAGTCCTAACTTTGCTTGTGGAAACATTTACTTTTGCCTTTCAGCTCAGCTTATTATATTAACTTAGCTAATTAGACTCCACAAAGCCATAAACGACAAATGGTCTTTAGTGTGGACCGGCAGTAGCGCAATTAACCTTTTCTACTAAAAATAATAGTAACAAAAGTTGGATTTCGTGATCCGCCTCTTTTCATTTGTAGTATTTATTGGTGAGGTAATGCTATGATCAAGAATAACTCTTCAGCTTTTTTTATTTGGTAGAATTAATTTTTGGTTGCAACCAATTCAATATAAATTGTTCATAATTCTTTTTAAGGCTACCCACTTACAGTAAAGTCCCGATTTGTGATAAGCGCAAGCTTTCTTTGCGCAACAAATGGCAATCGTATATGTCGTACATCCAGCCAATAATGACATGCGCTTTTGCTGCTTGGACCTACAACTCCACTGCAATAGCGTCTTCGTGGTTTACGAAAAATGAAGCTCTTCATTGAGCTCTTGAGTTGTGCCCTTTAGATGTCGTCTTCCAACACAATGCTAACGCCTTTTACGGTAGGCAAGCCAGGCACCACTAATTTTTTGCCAGTGAGCAAACTAATGTACGAGCCAATAGGACGGGGCGCCTTATCACCGCCCCCCGACGCGAGTTTTTGCTAGTTTTCGTTTGGTAATGTTAAAAAAATGACATCTTATCGATTAAAAATGTTTTGTAATATGTCTGCGAACACTCTTGACAGAGAGCTCAAGGCTTCGAGGTTTTTTGACTCGATCAAGCACCAGAAACTGTCGTAAATACACAAATAATAATGATCCGTTTTTGATACCTTCCTTATATGAGAAACTTTTTGCTTAGTCGCTTTTCTCTTCTACTTTTCCTAATTTCTGAGTTCCATTTCCATCTCAAGCTCTTGGTTATTAGTCCCATGCTCTCTTGAGTACAACTTTAACTTATTTGTGTCTTACCTCCAATCTTGCTCTACCAAGCTCTTAAAAGTTTTACTTCTTTTTTCTTCTCTATTTCCTATCTACCCTTAGATGTTAAAGAGTTTAGTTAATGGGCTCTTACTTTTTTCAAAGAAATTACGATTTTGGGTTTGTAACAGTCAAGGCCTGGGCTCACTGTTTTTGCTACTTCACAGCTCTTAGTACAGCTTACTATATTATTAAAAGCAGGGGTTATTACACAAGTAAAAAGTATAATTTTCTATGATGAAGTTCTAGGAATAGATATAGATAATTAGAGAAATAATAAAGAGGGAGGAAAAAATTGTTTTAAATGATACAATTGTAGAGACATCGCTGCCTTACTTTTAGAGAGATGGCCGAGAGGCCTTAAATTTAATAAACGCGGCAGCCTCCCCCCTCTCCATACTAAGGAAATTCAGACTAAGCAGTTCTTGTTATAGCAGATATAACAACTATAGTATGTTAAACGATCAACAAATAATTAACAAATATATAAAGGTCAACATCGGATTTTTAATCTCAGTTCTTCCTTTTTTTTGTATATACAATTCCGCATTTCTTTTTCCTTTATTTTGTTTTTGTTACTTTAAGTTATTATCTCTTAACTTAATTCTTATTTTTCAATTAATTTTATTTACTCATCTATTCACTTTTTTCTAATGAAGCCCCGATACTGATTATAATTAAAAAAGGTTAATATTTACAAACAGAGACTTGAAGGTATCAAATAGGCCCTCAAATTATAATATTGAGATTTAACGGATTAACCTGATTATACGTAAGACAGTCCTGGACTGAGAGAAATCATGCTGCTGCCGTAAAAACTAGCAGAAAGTCGATTACTTGCTTGCAGGCATCTCCAACCGAATTTATTGGCTGTTATTCTGCGGAAAAATTATTTAGCTAGTAACCTTTAACGATCAAAATATGTGCTAAACTGATAAACTACAAATATTTAAATTAGTACTTAAATAGTATATAAGAATTAGCAATCCTCTTAAAAACTTTTATTTTTTTATTTTTAGACACTGGCGTACTACGGCCGAAGATCTATAACCGTTCAGTCTGAATCCCTCTCTTCTGTAGGAGTTAAAGCACGAGTGCTCACAGGTGTGCCTTCCTTATAGAGCTATAATGACTGTCCCGAAGGACTGAAGAAACGCCTGGTGCGGTGGAACACCACTAAAAACCATCACCCGGGAGAGACAGCCTTGGGCATAAAGACCCGAGACTACCTGGAGCCACTGACCAGCACCGCTGCCAGTCAGGCGCCTACAAACTCCTCACCTAGAGGGGAGGGCCCTAATTTAGAGTTTCGATGCAATGAACATTTTGTTTACACAGAACTTAAAAGAATTCAATCGCCTCCATATAATCTAAATAACAAATCCTTTTTTTCTTTTTTTTCTTGTTCCTTTTCCTGTGTAGCGTTGTGTTCTTGTTTTGTGCATATATATATCTTTTCTTATCCATTATTTTAGATACTTTATATTTTAATAGAACTAGTTAATTTACAATGGGAAAAATGTAAAGCTAATCCTTAAAATAGGAGATAAAATAAAAAAGAAAGATAAAGGTATCAAGGTATTTCCCTTTTATTATAAGCCATAAAATAAAAAAACCTACATTAGGTGTTTTTATAATTTGCAGTTTACTAAAGGAACCAACTTAATTGAACTATTTTGTTGGAAACCTTAGCTAAAAAAAAACAATCAAAGTTGTTAAACAAAATCAAATCAGTTATTTTAGTAAATTTTACGAAGGAAGTTTTTTTTTAAGTTTTATATTAATATTAAACTACTTTTGAAGTTACTACCCGTTAAATGGGCTTACCTGAATAGAATAAAGAAGAAAATGCCCTTTTCCTCAAATTTAGACTACTGAACTATGTCTTACCTTTAGATTCTTTACTTATACTAGCTCAATTCTAGCCACCTTAGACTACTTCCTCCAGTTAGGATGAGATAACAAATTCTAACATGCTTGACTAGTAAATTTATTTAATATAATTTGTTCTTTCGAGATAAGTAGAACATAAATTAATAATTATTACAATCTCTTTAGCAACTAAAATTGGATTGAAAAGGAGTAATTTATTTTTAAATTGAAATATCCTAATTTCCTACCTTAGCTTATTTAGTTAAACTATTAATGTGCTTGTGCTTCTTAGATTTCAATTATATTTAGTCAGCTTGGAATAGTATAGATTTAAAATTGTAAAAATAGATATACGTATGAGTTTCACAATCTTGATCACTAGGATATAAAAAAAAAATTAAACTCGAAGTTTAGAGGTTGTTAGGGAAATAATTTGGTGATAAAATAAGTCATTTTTGAAAAATTTTTTTTTTAAAGTAGTTTTACAAAATCATTCTAATAACTGGATAATCAAAATTAGTTAAAAAGGATTTGCACAGTATAGATTTTTAACTGACTAGCACTATTTTTGAAATGCTTATATAGCATTTACACTCTTTGTGGATTCAGGCTATTCAGCCAATTTCGGAATACGGGAGCATCTTACTTATTCGAAAAAGACCAGACACACAGCAGCTTAATAATTATGAATGTGTTTACCGTACCTTGATGCTAGAACTAAGGGTCTGAGTAGTACCACTGAGAGTCATTGGTGATGTTTTATTAACGTTAAAATACCATTGGTGGAACTTGCTGTGGGCAGTTGTACCCGAGGAAGGTTCTATCTTTGAATTCTCACCGAGTACGCATTACCGCCGGCTGTACTTAGAAATATTCTTAATTATACAAGTGTCGCTATGTGCAAATGTTCGTCTGCCGCTATCGTTGGATAATAGTTTTTTGCCTGCATTTTTTTAATCTTAGTGCTTAAGCTTTTTAACAAAAGTTGTATACATAATTTAGCGACCGAAGATGTCAGTTGTCACCGTAGCTCAGTGGTTAGAACATTGTCCCTCAAGGTCACGGATTCGTATCCCGACAGCGCCAACTCACATTTTCTGGTCTGGTAGGTAAGTGTGCAACTTCCCTAAAAACAAAATTCTGGTACTTTTAGCCAAACTGATCCTTATTATACTATGGAGTTGGAAACTAATTAGCCAAATACCACATTTCTAGGAAAGCTAGGAACTCCTAGCATTATTATAATTAGGTTTTAACCGAGTTTTACATTATTTAGGGAGTATTTCTACTAAATGCTAGTAGCACACTGATACCTAGTGTGCTAATGGAAGTTATTTTAATGCAATAGCTATGTTTAAAAGTATATACTGTATAAAGGTGCCAACCTCAAAGAAAAACATATTACGACTATTCCGTTTGCTATGGACAGTAGAATAAGCTACGGAGGGGTAAGAGAAAGGCTTCAATATGTACTTTATTCATAACGCAGATTCCCCGAAGAGTTATCCAAGCACCATTATATAATTTCGAATAGCTAAATCTTATTTTGCGGAGTAAAAAGCAAACTTAACACTTTGCCAGGAACAACTGAGTACAGAATTTGATTGAAATGTTCTCAATAAGCACGCAGATAATACGGGTGTTAGCAACTCTAAAACTGACGCACAGTCGAAAAAGAGAGTTAAAGCAATTTTTAAGGGTCTCCACTGTCGATAGCGATCGAGGCGCTAAAATAAGCTTTTATTAAATCACCCGCCCTTCTTATATAAGTTGGGACGAGTGTATATCATCAAAAAGTTTATGTACACGGTCATTCCCAAATCAGACAAAAATTCACTTCCGTCCTAATAAATAATCCGGTTGCATACGTTTTTAGGGTTACAAGTTGTGAAGTTTGTCATGCAAAAAATCTACTTAAAAATCAACCAATTTATTGGACGTCGTCCACTAACTCCGCCGGGTTATATAAATTAAAAGGGTGCCTCATTAGCCAGTCATTACTTTAAATTGCGAGCTAATTGCAATTTGTGGCATTGAATACCGTAATTAACCATGAAACTTATGGTTAATGGGGGTGCACCATTTATAGGTGATTGTTTTTAATAGAGATTTTTCCTGTCTTTTTATTTCGTCCATAGAGCTTACGATTATATAAAACTGGAATTAAGAAAGAAAAAAAAGAGAAACCAAACCAATAAACGAAACTAGTAATCTAATGGGTTGCTGAGAACTGTCTTGATATTATATATCAAAAAAACAATATACGCAGCAATTGCTATGCAATGATGCTACGAATTTCTTGAAACTGAACTGTGTTTCTTATGATAAAGCCACTTAATGGCGGCGCTGAAGGGCGTTTTCGCAAATGAAGAAGGTAAAGCGTAGAGCGACGGTAAAACAACCCCAAAGCTCATTACACTTCTAACAAAGACCAATAAGGTTAGCGCAATTGATAAACCATTCAATCAACAAAGAGCCAATCCACTGAATGGCATAACCAATGATCTTGTAGAAACAGATGACGCCGGCCTCGAGAGAGCCACTCCAGCTGCAGTCGTCGGAATACTGGGAGACCCCACAAATCTCGGCCAATCAAACAGCTTAACGACTTTTTTCAAAAATTGCTGCTTAGGAACTAACGAAAAGGTATATAATAAACAAATGAAAGTTTTTTAACGGTGCATAAAGTTAAATATGAAATAGAATAAAGAGAGAAGTTTATTTATTGTTTCTGTTATGAAAACCCACTAGCATGTGTCCATAAAAATGCGTCCAATGCGTTAACGCTGCTTAAAAAGCATTGCAAGTTTTATAACAAGTTTTGCCTACAATACTTTTTATATTTGAAAAAAAGGTAAAAACGTTTTTATATAAAGTTAAAATAGAAATAGCGGTCTACCTTAAAAAAAATTTTTCAAAGTTTTTTTTAATCTTATTTTTAGTAACTTTTTAAAATTTATTAAGATCTAATATAATATTTTTTTAAGTTATTAATTAAATTAATTTTCGGTAAAGAAAAAGGCCTTGAGTGGTAGAAAGCACATAAAATATTTCGCTTTTAATATTTTAGTTAATAATAATAATCAAGAAATAATACATTTATAATATTTTGGTTTATTATATTTATTATTATATGACTATAAATTACTTTTAGTATACTACGTTCATTATAATAAATTATTTGTGTAAATTTGTGTTATTAATTTATTATTCATAATAATGAAGTTTGAATATCAGCATCCGTTTTAATGGCTTTTTCTATATAAAAGGCATCAACGTTGAGTCTTATTTTCATTGAATCACCTTCTTGAAACCCTTATTAATATTATAAATTTCGCTTTATTAGTCAATAGTAAAAATTTTTTTTATTAAGTTTTTTTTTTTTTACATTTAAATAGTAAAAAATATATAAAATATAAAAAGACTGAAAGTATATAAGTATATATGAATAATATAATACAACTTCTGTACTTTTCTTTTCATTTTTTTATTTATAGTTTAGTATTAAATAAATAAGCGAAAACAATTAAAAGTATAAAACTTAACTTATTTATTATAATTAGTTTATTTAATGCTATTTCTTTTTTACAAAAAGCAAGAATTATAATAAATATCTCCATTATTATCTAGAAGTATTAATAAGATTATCTAAAAGATTCTAAAAAAATGTTAAATGAGATGCAGTATGAGAAAAACTTAATTAAACATATTTTTAGTTGGGTTTGCAACTGTAAAATAAAAAATTGAAAAATATAATTAAATATCTTTTCATATTACTAACTTTTTATTTATATATTTTGTGTTTAGCAATAAATTTTATCATATATATAATTATAATAACATAAATAACAAAATGTAATAGTATAAGAAAATTAAAAATAGTATTAAAGGTGAAAAAAATATTAAAATAAAAAATATGTAAAATTATAAAAGATAATACAAAAAATATATAATTAAACGGGTTTGAGTTATTAATTAGTTATTATTAGCAAACCAATAACAACACAAAAATAGTAGAGAATTTGATGTGTGGATCATTGATATTCCGTTTTATATTAAAACTATTCACTCTTCTATTTGTAAGTTTATTAACACTTCTAGTTGATTGGTTACTATCTCATTATCAGATTAATACTGTTTTTGATTGGTTTCTTCAGGGGAAAAAAACCGATTAAGTATAAAAAGTTTTCATAAAGCATAAAGCAATCAATTTGGATGTTTTGGTGTATTTTGGTAGCATTAAAGATCTTTAAACCACGTGTTAGATTTTTACCAATGGCCTGATATTGCTCTCTCCTGCTGCCTTTCTTAATTTATTTTTTTATATACTTTCTTCCTTATAAATTATATAAATTTTACATATACTTTTAAAAAAAATTATATTTTTATTTTATTATAAATATCGGTAATAAAAATTTCTCTGAAGAAAATGTTGATAAATTGTTAACCCATAAAAATGCTTTAACACAATAAATACAGGCCAAGATGGATCACGTGGCAGAAGGCACGTGGTTTGCACAAAATGCAGGTGTGAATCACGCTTGGAGACCATTTTGGAAGGTGAGGGGTGGTTAACAGAAAGTTTCCATTTCTAACTAAAAGTTAATAGTAATATTATTATATTCATTATTTCTTTTCAATTTCTTTCAAATTGATAATTATAGTTTATAATATTTTTTTTATAACTTTATTATTATGTTTTTTTAATTGATTAATTATAGCATAATTATATTTTAATTTGGAATTTTATTGTACTTCATAACTATATTATGATTTTTTTTATGATTTATTTTTTACTTTTTTTTTAAATTTAATTATAAGAGCTTATTAAATTTTTTACATGTAAAAATTGTTTTACTTTCTTATTATAATTAATATTCTTTAAAGTTTTTTAAGAATTTAATTTTTATTTCTTTTACTATAAAATAATTGAAATCCACCAAAAATTATTATACAAAATATTGTTGTTTCATAACTTTATGGCACTAATAGATAAAAAAAGATGATAAAATATTTTCTGTGGTTAATAAAAAACTTTAAGTATATTTTTTTATATATAAAAAGTATACATACAAAAAAATTTGATATAATATATTATTTTTTAAAATAAAAAAAGTTTTTTTTAATAAAAAATAATTTTCTAAATGTGGTAAGTGCGAGTTTTCATGAAAAATAATAAAAAATAGAATAAATTAAAAAAGATAGTGTATAAAAAGAAAAAAAAAAGAAAAAAAATTTAAATATTTAATACTATTATTACTTTTATTATAAAAAATAATAATAATAAATATTGGTTATGAAAGAGAAAAAAAAAAGTAAATATAACAAATCATATAAAAAATATTAAAAAATATTAAAAAATATAATTATAAAATAGTAAATTCAATAAATGTATAAAGATAAAACAGTATAAATTCATATATATTAAAACTTATGTTAATTTTTATTTTTATTTATTATTAAAAAATATATAAAGTAAACAAAAATATAAAAGCAAATATAAAAAATATAAATATTTTTGGTGTAAGCCAAAAGTCTATAAAAGTGTATAATAGTTATAAGGAAACAAATATATAAAGACTTTTATAAATAATGAATATTAATCTTTTTTTAGTTTTTCAAATTAATAAATTGTTATAATAAAGCCTTATTTTGATTTTTAATAAATATATATAAAAGTAAATATAAAGATATAAATATATAAAAAAAATCTAAAAGCAAATATAAATAATTTTTTTTTGTGTAAACAAAAAGTCTACAAAAGTATATAATTAGTTTAAATGAAGCAAATATATATATAATTTTTTTTAACTATAAATTTTTATCTTTTTTCTACTTTCCAAAAGTAAATAAATAGTTATAATAAAACTATTACTATTTATAATATAAAATTTTTTTTGATAAATTTTTAATAAATATTATATATATATTTATTTATATATACAAAGAAAAAGTCTAATAAAGTTTGTTAATACTCATAATAAAAAACTATAACGAGTGTTTCTTAGGAAAACGATATATTTTGTATTAATAGTTTGTGTTAATTATATATAAAAAGGAAATACAAGAAATTATAGGAATAAATTATTCTATTATTAAAAGGTCTGTAAAAGTTTATAAAAAATTGTATATAAATTTTATTTTTTTTAAGCATTCAGTATTAAATTATATATTTGAAAAGAAATTGTAAACATATAAAAGTACATAAAAAGTTATTATTAAATAAATAGATAGAAAAATTATAGAAGTATAGAAGTATATAAAAAGTTATAATAAAAACTAACAACAATAAGATAAATAATTTTTTTTTAAATTTATTATTAAATTAAAAAATATAGATTATTGTATACAAAAATGCTAAAAAAATTTCATAAATAGTTATAATAAAAGAAAGAAAAATAAATGATGTTTTTTATTAATAATAAACTGTTAAAGTTATTATAAAATATATAAAATTTATAAAAAATATTATTATATATATAAAAAAATAAAAATGAGTAAAGATTGTTTAAAAAAGCTAATTTTAGTTTTATATTCAAAAAAATTATAAAAGTATAAAATATATAAAAAGTTATATTAAATAAAAAATGAATAAATTAATAATTTTTTAATAAACAAGTATTTTTTTATATATAAAAAAGTCTATAAAATTTTTTATATAAGTTATAATAAAAACAAATGTAGATTTTTTAAAAAGCAATAAAATGTTAATTAAAAAATATAAATAAAATATAAAATTATAATTATTACATATAAAAACAATAAAAATAATAAAAAGTAAAATGAATAATTTAAAATTGATAAAAATATAGAAGAGTTTAAAAATAAAAAGTAATTTTTTTTAATATTATTATTTACATAAGAAAATAGTAAGTAGTAAAATAAATAATAATAACAAAGAAAAATATAATTAACATGAAAATAAAAAAAAGTAAAATATATTAAAATTCGTATTAAATAATTTTTTTCCTAAAAAAAAAACGTTTAATTTTTTATATAATAAATAATGTATTTAAAATATTATTATTCTTATAAAATTACTTTTCATAAATCCTTTAGTTCAATTTTTTTTTAATAATAGAAAAATTATATATTTTTTATATTTCTAATAATATATATTTTACTATTTTATAAAAAAAATTAGTTATAAAAAATTTATAAATAGTTATACAAGTAATAATGAATTATTACAAGTGAACATGTTATATTATTTGTTTATTATTACTATTATTATTAATTATAAAATTTTTTGTAATATTTTCTATAAATAAGTATAATAAAAATTTAGAAACTTGACGACTTTTATTTAAAATTTATTGTATTACTATAATATTATAAACGTATTAACATTATTATTTTTATTACTTTTACATTAAATATATGTAAAGTATATAATAATATTCACCAAGTCAGTAAACTTTTGTAGAAAGTAATAGAAAATGATTATGATAAGAAAATTTTAAAAATAAATTAGAAGAGACTTTTAATAAAAATTTATTATACAGAAGTATTATAAAACTTTAAAAAAAATACAAATTTTATATTTATAAATAAAAAAAAGTATATTTTTTATGAATGTATTAAAAAACAATATAAATTTAGTCTTTCTTCTAAATATATAATTACTAAAAAAATTAAGATTCTTATTATATAAAATAATTTTTTAAAACTATTAAAAAACTGTGAAAAAAATTAATAAATTTTATTTATTATAATATTTTTAAAAAGTTAAATAAACTTTTAAAAAATAAAAACTTTAATTAGTTAAAAAATACTTTTTTTTTGTATATAAAAGTATTTTAAAACCAAAAATTTTTTATAAAAAAATATTAATCATAAATTTTGATAAACTAAAAAATATAAAAACTTTTATGATTAAAAAAAATTATTTTATATAAAAGTATAATAAGACTATACAAATTAAAGAAGTGTTTTAAAAAATTAAAAAATTTAATAAAACGTTTATAAATTTATAATGCCAAAGATTTTTAATTATATAAAAAACTCTTTTTTATATAATATTATAAACTAAAAATTTATAAAATATTTTATGAAAAAAATTTATTTATTATAACATTTATAAAAAAGTTTATAAATTATAAAGCTAAAGAATTTTATAACATATACTTTTATATATAGAAATAATATAAAACTGAATATCTAAAAAATATATAAATAAAAAATTCTATTTATCTAAAATATTTATAAAAAAGCCATTTAACTTTTTAGAGAATATATATTTTTATCACATGAAGAATACTTTTTTACGTAAAAGTATTATAAAACTAAAAATTAATTTAATGATTTTTTTTCATTAGTTTAAATCTTCCATTTTTTAATATTATACATTTTTTAATGTGTTGTAAGCTGTATAATTTTATAGACTTTTATAAAATAAAAAGCATATTAATAACAATTTTATTAAAAAAGTTTTAATAAATTAAAAAAAAAAATAAAAACATTTTTATAAAAATACTATAAAACACTTAAAATTATGTAGTCTTTTATTTTTATAAAAAATATTAAGAAAAATATATTTTTCTAAAAGTTTTATGAAACGTTTAAAACTTATTGAATTTTATTATTATAAAAAAATTCTACAAAAAAACTTTTTTTTAATGTTTCATAAAACTTTAAGATGTAAACTTTATTATATAAATAATAATTTTTTAATAAAAATATTAAAAAAAAAAACCGGTAAGTTGCGAGTCTTTTTATTTTTATAAAAATTATAATGAAAAAAATATATATTCTAAAAGTTTTATGAAAGCGTTTGAAATTTAGCGAATTTTAATTTTATATAAAAAAATTATACAAAAAATTTTATTTAATAAAAGTTTTATTAAATTTAATATTGATAAAGACTTTTATTATATAAAAAATAAATTCTCATTAAAATAAAACACTTAAAAAATTGTAGACTTTTATTTTTTAAAAAAATAATGGGAAAATATATTTTTCTAAAAGTTTTACGAAACTTTTCAGACTTAATAAATTTTATTTTACTAAAAAATATAATACAAAAAAAAAATAAAACTTTAATATTATATAGGCTTTTAGTGTATTATAAATAATTGTTTCAACTTTTGTTAAAAAAGTTTCAAAAACTTTGTAAGCTTTATTTAATATTAAGATTTTATTATTACTCTTCTTATAAAAAAGTAGTTATAAAAGTTTGTATATGTATTACATAAAAAAAACTTTTTAGTTTATATATATAAAATAATAATAAGTACAAAAAAAACCTTCAATAATAATAAAGCGAGCACGTGCGAGTCGAGAGCAAACAGCTTGAATTATTGTATCGGAAACGTCTGCAATGGAATGAACGAGACAATTTTGAATATGACGCTTTTTTACCTTCCATAATAATAATGATAAATATAAGTAATAATAGTAATAAGAGTTAGCAATAATAAATAACATAATAAATATGATAATAATAATAACGTTAATAATTATGTATATAAATAATAAGAATAATAATAAAAATTATCATAATAAATATATATTATAAATATGATAATAATAATTAATAATAATGTATATAAATAATAAAAGTAATGATCATTAATAATAATAGTAAAAATAAAATAATGAATAACTTTTCCAAAGCGAGCCGCCTCGTTTTCGGAAGCACGTGTTTCGTAGTAAACGCAATACAAAAACATGCGCATATGAAAACTGCTAGCGTGAAGGATTTCGACAACGGGAATGCGGAATGTACACGTGATAATCTCTTGAATAAGATCGAGTCCAACGAGCTTCTCGGTAGAACCCGAATTCAAGACGCCTAAAAACAGTGTAAACTTACTACTGGAGTAAAAAATAGTGAAATGATATTGGACAAAACCGGAATCTCGCGAGACGTGATCTACGGCCATGCGGCAAATGTCAAGGGCAGTTCGCGCATCGCCGGTAGACGAGCCAATCATCTGCGAGCAAAGTTGGATGGCTTCTTTCTAGGTTATAATAAAATAAAATAATAAATAAAAAATATATAATAATAATAATATATGGAGAAAAAAATAATATATTTATTGTAATTATCCACCTTTTTGATAAAAATTTATGAGAAAAAAATAATTATCACAATAATATAATAAACCAAAAAAAGTTTAATAACAATATATGAAAAAAAAAAAAAGAAAACTATAAATACTATAATAACAAGGATTCAACTTTCTAATATCAATCATATTATTACTGTTAAAAAAAACTATATAAATTAGTAATTATTATTATAAATTTTTTTATATAAAAGGTTTTTTATAAAATAAATATTTATAAAAGCTTATAATATTAATATAATAATTTTAAATTAAAATAAACTAAAAACATATAAAAAATGGTATAAAAATAAATACACAAAATTTATAGTACTTATTTAAAAAATAATAATAATAAAAAAATTCTGTATAGTAAATTAAATATAATTTCTAAATTAACATAGTATAATAAATTTATAGTAATAATAATAATAATAATAGTAATAATAATAATAATAATAATAATAATAATAATAATAATAATAATAATAATAATAATAATAATAATAATAATAATAATAATAATAATAATAATAATAATAATTAAAGGTTTTACAAACTTTAAATATATTTGAGCTTGAAAGTCTATTAGAAATAATTGTATGAAGTTGGCTATTCGTGTACGGCATAAAAGACAGTCGCGTCAAACCAAAACGACTAACAAATAAAATAAATAATAATAATAATAATTTTAATTATAATAAAAATAATAACCTGCAATTTTTATAAGTGAAAAATCTCTCCGGCAAGTCCATTGTATTAGCAACAGTAAGTAAAACAAGTTTGGAAATGGGTTGAGCAGCCCTACAATATATAATAATAATAATAGTAATAATAATAATAATAATAATAATAATAATAATAATAATAATAATAATAATAATAATAATAATAATAATAATAATAATAATAATAGTAATAATAATAATAATAATAATAGTAATAATAATAATAATAATAATAGTAATAATAACCAATTGAGGACTCTGTACAGCAGCGATTGCTTCCCGGTGACCAATTGGTCCACCTCGTCTATCAAAAGAATTATAAATTCTTTATTTTTTAAACTTTTAGTAGAAAAATATTCTTCTAATCGGTCCATTGCGTTTCTGTCGGATAAAAATTTTCCGTAAAGCGCCTTAAAGAAGTTAATTATAATAAAAATAAAGAAAAAATATTTTATTACTAACAAAACAATAATAAAAACAAATAAATTTATACATATAAAATGTATTTGTTGTTTTTCTTAAAAATAAAGTAATAATAATAATTAAATAAAAACATAAATGAAAATGTTTTATAATAATAATTATTATAATAAATAAATAAAAATAAAAATAATATGAGGAAATAAATATAATCTATATATTAAAAAATATTTTTAATAAAGAAAAACAAAATTTTAAGGAAATATATAAAAAAAATAATATATATTCTAATAAATATAATAATAAATAAAAATAATAACTATTTTAAGTAATATAATAATAAATAAATATAAAAATATTAAATAAATATATATAAGAAATATATATTAATAAATAATAAAAACACATTTATAAGTAAATATATAAAAAAAAATTATATATTTTTTTATTTACTATAGAAATTTTAACAAAATTTTTATTACAAAAAGTAAGAAACAAAATAAATTCTCATAATGAAATAAAATTTTAAAATAAATTATTTATATAATTCATAAAAATATTATTTAGTAGAGTTTTGATTTAAAATTATTTAATAAAAAAAAAAAAATTCCTAATAAATTTGTATAGTGAAATAAAAAATTTTAGAATTAATAACTCAATAATTTATAAATAGAACAAAAGTATTAAATATTTTGAATAAAAACTGTTTGCGTTGCTTAAAAAAAACTAAGAAACATTTTCTTATAAAATAATAATTAAATTAATTTATAAATAAAAGTTATAAATTTTTTATTTACTATAAAAAGTTACTTGAAAAATTGTTATATATATATAAAAAAAAAGACAGAATTTCGTAAATAAATAAAAATTTACTTTATAAAATTTTTAATAAAAATTTTTTAACAAAAATATTAATAGAAAAGAATAAATTTTTATAATCAAAATTAAAAATTTTAACTATTCAGATATATATATAATTTTTAATTATTTATTTACTATAAATTGTTTAATAATAATAAAAATATTTATAAAAGATAATATATTATACTAAGTAAAATCAAAATTTTTTAATGATTCCTGAATAAAAAAGTTACAAATTTATTATTTATAATAAAAAGTTTACTTCATAGTAATTCGAATAAAAACTGTTTAATAAAAAAATAAGTAAAACAAATTTTTATTAAAATATCAAATTACAATATAAATAATTTAAAAAATTCATAATAAAGAAAAAAAATAAATTTCTTATTTACTATAAAGTTTACTTTATAAAATTTAAATAAAATAGATTAATAAAAAACAAAAGGAAAATAAATTTTAACAATAAAAGCCAATTATAAAATAAATAATTAAATAATTCTTAACAAATAAAAGTTATAAAAAAATCTTCAATTTACCAGAGAAAATTTACTTTATTAAATTCTTAATAAAAAATTGTTTAATAAAAATTTTAAAAAAAATAAATTTTTTAAATAAAAAGTTATTCACTTTTTTAATAAAAAATTTACATAATCAAATTTTGATTAAAAATTATTAAATATATATAAAGACAAAATAAATTTTTTTTATTAAAAAAATGATAAAATATATAATTTAAATAATTCAATACTAAAAAAGTTTTAAATATTATGTTTACTAAAAAAAAGGTTTACTTTATATAATTTAAAAATTAAAATATAAAAAACAATATAAGATTTAAAACAAAATACAATTATTTATTATATAATATATAATAAATATTTTAAAAAATAAAAAAAAAATTATGTATATATATTACTAAAATAAAATTTACTTTATAAAATGTTGAATAAAAATTGTTCGCATTAATCAACTTCATTCCATTTATCTCAATAAATTTAAATTTCGGTAAAAGTTTATTATTTTTTAAACTTTTGATAACACGATGAACTATAAAAAATATAATTATAAACATAAAATATTAAAAAGTATATATTATTTAATAAAATAGTAATATAAAATATTAATTAAATACAGTGTTATAAATATTAATAAAACTATTAAAAAATATATTAATAATAATAAAATATAAATTATATATAATAGATCAAAAATTAATATAATAAAAATACTAAAAAATATTAAATAATAATATAAATTAATAATATTCGAAAATATAAGTAAAAATGTTTTTAAAAATATAATAATTAATAATGATAAAAATAAAGTATTATAATAATACATTAACAACACAAATACAGTTTCATAAAATAAATTGTTATTTAAAAATTTATTTATGAAAATATAATAATAAAAAATATAAAAGAAAAGTACTGATAAAAGTTTAATTATCCAAAAATCGATACTAGTAAGATTAAAAAAATAATTGGATTGTCAACAGCTATCCACCAATAGGAAGAGTGAGTTTTATAGTTGAAAGAAACTCACCAATAACATTTTTCAGCGAGCAATAATATCTTTTTCTTAGGCTTTGATTGACTCGTAGTTAATATCAGCTGCCAATAAAACCAGTATTTTTCGTACAGTATAAAGTTTCTGATTGGCTCCCTGATGTTCCCCTACCAGTAATCTATCAGAGTTTTCTTAAGTTTTTAAAAAATCATATAATTTTAATGGCCTTTAGACAGTTTTCAATTGGCTGATCAATTCCTCTCTTCCAATAATAAACGATTGTCTAAAAACTTTTAAAACATGTGACTATAAAGTTTTTTCGTATTGGGATTGTCCAATCAGTAATATTCAGAGCCTAAAACTTTATACATTTCACGTGTACCAGAATTTTCTAGAGTAACCAAAACTTTATAAAGACAACAAATATAAAATTATGAATCTTTTATAAGTTATATGATGGGCTCTCCGGGCCTCTTCCGCCAACAAAAACAGAGCATATTCTTTATTACCCTTCAAAAAAAAAGAATAATATTTTTAATAGCCGGAGAGGCAAGACACGTATGCCGTACCCACACGGTTTAACACGCAATAGCGCATAACTTACGTACGTCACGTACCAACTTCGAGCACGTGTTTAAGGCCACGTGTGTGTTTGTGTGGATTTTTTTATTTTGCATTTAAGCACAGCTATTTTAAAACTTTTTCATTGTAAAAAGTATTAAAAAGTCCGCATGCTGCATTTTTAAAAACTTTATAAAAACGAAACGATTATGATTTTACGTTTGTATAAAATGCTGACAAAGTTTATATTTTACGAACAATATTTCAAAAAAAATTTATCTTATTATTTATTATGGGAAACTAAAAAAATATTTATAGCAAAACTTTGTTATTACGCGAGACATTATGACCTTAAAAAAAAGTTATAAAATTATTTTATTTTATTTTATTAGGAAGTAAAAAATACTAATAAAAGTATTAATAAAGTTAAAAATAACATACGTAAGATAATTCAAACTAAATATACAGCAATAATAATAATTAGTTAGAAGTTTAATAAAATAATCTCTGAAAATATAAAAAAAATTAATAAATAATAACAATAATAAAGGTAAAACCAGTTTCTGATTTGCCAATGCCCGGCACGCCAGAAATATATATAACTCCGCAGGACTGAGACTCGAGCTTCCCCACAAGAAAAGCGGAAAGTTTGTTAAACTGCATAATAATAAAAGTTTAAATATATATATAAAATAATAATTGTAAATATTTACAAAAATTTATGATAGAAACAAAATATTTAAAAATAACTAATAGAAAAAAATCTATTATTTATTATTATAAAAAAAACTATAAAAATAATGAAAATAACGAAACTTTATAATAATATGTGTATATATTTGTTAAAGTAAATAACATATATATTAAAAAGGTATAAGTAATAAAAAAATATAAAAAAAGTAGTAAAACTTTATAATAGTACTAATAAAAAATATATATTAGAATTTATTATAGTATTAATATAAATATTTCGTAATAATTACTATTATATAATAAGAAATGCTTATTATAATAATTAATATTATAACTATAAAAATATATTACTTTTTTTAAGAAAACTAAGAAAGTTTGCTAAACTATAGTAATAATAATAATAAAACTAAAAAACAAAAATAATGAAAAAAACAAACCCATAATAATATTAATTTTAAAAAAATACATATAACTAATAACAGTAATTAAAATAAATATCATAAAATTATAACTAAAAATATATATATAATAAGTAATAGTTAAGATAACATTAACTTAAAAAATAAAAAATATATATATAATTTATTTTAGTATTTACTATTAATATTCTATAATAAGCGCTAATAAAAAAAATTGCTTATAATTATTGTTATAAACAAATTATTTGAATTTTCCACAAGAGAAAAAAAAAGTGTCCAACCGCATAATAATAATATAATAACAAAAAATAATGTTATTAATATAATTTCGAGTTATAATAAGACAGAATTATAAAAATATTTAATAAACATTATTAAATTAATAATATATATATTATAATATATTACTAATAAAAAATATTAATTAGAATTATTTGACTTCTACAAGAAAAGTAAAAGTATATAAATCTGCATAAAAAAAATAATATTAATTAAAAAAATGAAAAATACTAAAACTTTTTAAAAAAAATAAATAAACTTTATTATAGTATTAAATATATTATAATAATCACAAAATAAAATTATATTATAATTATTATTATATATATACTTTAAAAAGAGAGAGAAAAAATTTATGTTATAGTAAAAAAATTTAAATATATAGATGGATAAATAAAAATATTTATAATAAAAAAACTTTTACTTTTCCTATTTTTTTTTTTGGTAATTATTATTGTAAACATAAAAAAAAGTATTTTATATTTAAAACGTTAAAATATTTTTTTACAAAATACATCAAAAAAATTTAAAAAAATAATACGAGAAAGAGAAATAAATATAGTAAAAGTATAAAGATTATAATTAATATTTACATAAAAATCAAAATAACTTTAATAAATATTTTATATAAGCTAATAATAAATGGAAAAAAAATGTTTAAAATTATTAATAAATTTTAAAAAATAAAATATTATTACTAATTATATTTTAAAAACTACTTATAAATATAATAAAACATTTTTATTATTATATAAAAGTTTTACAAAAAGTAAATATAATATTTATTTTTTAATATTAAGAAATTTTATTTAATATAATATACATATATTGATAAATGATAACTAAAAATAGTAAATTATTTATATTAAAAACTATTATAAACTTTTAATATTAATAGCATAATAATAACAACTAAATAGTTTATTATATTTTACTTATGAAATAAAAGTATTTCAAAACATTTTATTAACAGTTAAAAAAAAAATTAACTAAAATAGAAAATTTTATTGTAATATGTAAAAAAAATATATATCAATAACTTTTTTTTATAAATTTTAAAAATAATATTTTATGATAAAAAAAAATAATAAGAACTTAATATTTATGAATATAAAAAAATAAATTCAATTTAAAAATTTTATATATAAAAAATGTTTTAATAATAATTTAAAATAAAAAAACTAATTAAATAAAAATATAAATAACTAATAAATATAATAAAAAAATTTATAATAATATGAAGTTTTAAAAAAAAGTATTTGACTATATTGACTTAAAGTTTAAAAAATTTTAAATACTAAATATTATAATAAAAAAAAATAACTACAACTAAATATTTATAAAAAATATACTATATTAATTATAATATAATAAAAACTTTAAAAAAAAATATTTACAAAAGCTTTTGAAAAATTTACTAAAATATATTATATTTTGTTAATAAAAAAAATAATAACTGGATATTTTATATCAATATATAATAAATTATTTATCAAAAAATAAAAAATTTTATTTTAATTTGAGAAAAAATATATATTAATAATGAAAATATAAAAACTAAATATTGTATATAAACGAATACATAAAAAATTTATTTATTATAAATGAAAGTTTTAAGAAAATATTAAATAAAAATTTTTAATAATTGCTAAACATTTTATATAAAAAACAATAAATATAATAAATTTAATATTAATGAAATAAAAGTTTTTTTAAAATTTTTTAAATATATATTTACGTAAAGTTTTATCAAATAAAATTTAAATAAAATAAAAAAGATATACTTTTATAAAAAAAAAATAATATAACTAAATATTATATACAACACTAATAAATATAATTTATCTAATAATAATATAATAAAATTTTTAAAAACATATTATTTGAATATTAATACTTAACCCTTTAAAGGTTACTAGTTACTATGTTACCACTTGTCGCCTAGGTTCATTGCAATAGTAGATCTATGGAAACTGGCCCTTTACGACAGGCTCGGTCTCTGAAACAATCTCTGGTAAGTTTGACTACCATGTTCCAACGGATTAGGCAGCAACCAACAAAACATAAAAAAGTGGTAAATTTAGTTACCCGTAAACGTAAAACAGGTCTATTTAAATCTCCAGAGTTTTGCCCGTTAAAGGGTTTAAGGTTTAGAAGATTTTACAGTAAAACAAAATATAGTAAAAATACAAAAGAAAGTTAAGTATTTTATACAAAAAATAATCACGATAATAAACTTAAAAAATAAAATAAAAGTTTTGAAAAAATATTTAAAAATATTTCCTTAAAGTATTAGACAATATTAAAAAAATAAAATATAATAGATATATAATAGCTAAATACTAGTATAAAAAACCAATAAAGATAATAAATTTTGTAATAAGTAAAATATAAGTTTTAAAAAATATATTTAAATTTATTTACTTAAATATTTAAATTTTTAAAACAATAAAGTTATTAAAAAGTTTATTTATTATAATTAAAAAACTTTTTTAAGGATTATTTAAACAAATAAAAAGAATTTGTAATAAAATATAAATATTGTTGTGATAATAAAACTTTTATAATAAAAGTTTTATAAAATTAAAAGATTTGAAAAAAAATTTATATATTAATTATTATTATAAAAAATATAAAGCAAAAGTAATCTTATATATAAAATAATAATAATAAAATAATATGATAAAATACAACTTTAATATAAAAAGTTTTTCATAATAATAATAGTTCATTATATTATCATTAAAAACTTTTTATATTAGAAAATAATAAAAAATTGTATATAAAAATAATAAAATCTTAATAAATATAAATTTATTATATTATTATTATTTAAGTATAAAAAAGTTTATAGTTAAACATATTAAAAAAACTTTAGTAAACCATGATTATATAGTATAAAATTTATAATAACGATAAAATTTAAAAAAAATTTTCATTTTATAAAAAAGTTTTTAATAAAGAGAAATATATAAATAAATATTTTATAAATGAAAAGATATAATAATCGAACATTTATAGAATTTATTATGAAAACTTTTTAAATTTAATAAAAAAAACTATAATATTTATTATTATTATTATTATTATAAGATTTTATATATAATTATATAATACTTATTTTAAAAGTTTTTAAGATAAATATTATATATGTTTTTACTGTTATAAAAATAAAAGAAATTTTAAAAAAAAATTTTATTTAAACTTTGAAAAAATAATAATAAACATGTTTTATTATTAACAAAATGAGAGTTTATAAAAGTAAAGGTAATTTTTTTGGAAATAAAAGTTAAAGAATTATTATAAAATATTTTTATTATTATAAAAGTAAAAGAAATTTGTAAATAACAATAAAAAATATTATCAACTTTTAGTAATAATTTATTAAAACTTTAAAAAATATTAAAAATATTAAAAGCAAACTAAAACAAAATATAATAAATAAAAGCTTTATAATAATCATAACTAAATAATTATGAAATAAAAAATTTTTAACAATAAGTTTTTTAATAATTAATAAAAAAAACTTTAAAACATTCTAAACATAAAATATTAGACAATAAGATAAATAATAAATAAAAACTTTATAATTATAATTAAATAATAATAAAATAAAAATTTAACAAAAACCTTTTTAATTATTAATATAAAAAAAATATTAAGAAGTTCAGATATAAAAATATTAAATATAAAATAATATTTAATTTAAAACTTTTAATAATATAATTTATTAATAATAAATATTTTAAATATATTATTATTTATATTAAAAAGTAAAAGAAGTTTAGAAATAAGTATTTATATTACACCTTTATTGTGAAATATTTTTTAATAATATTTTATTAAAAGTTTATAATGTATTATTAAACAAAAGTTTATAAATAAATAAAATTTTGGAGATAATATTATTTTTTGATAATAAAAATTTAAAATAATATATTAAAAAAATTTTTAACATACAAAAAATATTATTAAAGCAAGAATTTATTTAAAAAAAAGTTATTTAATAATCAATAACTAAAAAAAAATAAATAAAAAGATTATATTTAAATAATAATATTAAAGGATTTAAAAGTAGAAATAATAAAAAATAAAAAATAAATTTAAATTCATTTCTAGAAAAATAAATAATTGGATTTTATTTAAATAAAATAAAAGGGTTTGTTAATGGAAATTATTTCCAAAGATTACATAAAAATTATAAATTATTAAAAAATATTAATAAAACTATTTAAATTTACTTATTTTATATAAAATAAATAAATTTTAAAATAATAATAAAATAAAGTTAAACTTTTATAATTTATTTGAATAATAAAATTAAAAGCATTCAGATATTAAAAAAAAAAGTAGAGATAAAAGAAACTTGAATAAGTAAAACTTTTTAGTAGAATTTAAATTTATGAAAAAATTTATAAATAAAAATAATAATATAATAAATAATAATTAAACCTTTTTATATTTATTTTAAAAAATAAAGATATTTATAAATAAAAATTATAATATAATAATTAATAATGAAAACTATTCTAATTTACCTATTTCTCAATTAAATAAATTTTTAATTAAATAATAATAGAATAATAATAAAATAAATAAACTAATAATTTATACTAAATTAGAAGAAAAGAATTTTTTAGTAAAAAAAATTAAAAATAAATAACACTTTTCATTAAAATTCAAATTAATAATAATATTATTCTATATAAAAAAAGTATAATAAATAATAATTAAAACTTTTAATATTTACTCAAAATAAAAAAATTATTAATAAGAATCAAAAATAATATAAATAAAATTTTTAAATTTATTCAAAATAAAAAGAAAGCATAAATAATAATGATAATTAAAACTTTATATATTTACTCAAAATAAAAGAAATTACATATAAAAAATAATACTAAAAACTTTATTATAAATAAGGAGAAACCTTAAATAGTAGTAATATAATAAGTATTAATACTTTTTAATTTTTTCAAATAATGTGAAGTATTTATCAATAAAAATATTAGTATATTAAATAATAATTAGAACTTTTTGGATTATAAATGATTGAATATTTTTTTAAAAAAAAAATTTACAAAAAAAAATTATAATATAATTTAATACTTTTTTTACTATTTATATTATTAAGATCCAGGAAAAATTAAATATTATTTTTCATTAGTATTCAGATTAAACATAACATTATTTTTTAAAAGTAATTAAAAATAATACTAACGAGGTTTAAAAAAGTTGAGTTTATATTTTTATAGACTATAAATTTTAACATTTTCTTTTTAAAAAAAATTTAAAAAGTAAATTTAAAGTGAATTAATAAATAAAATATTAATAATACTATGAAAAAACTAATTTAGGTATTTTTAAATCATAAGGTACAAAAGTAAAACAGTATATAAATTAAAAATAAAAAAAATAAAATCAAATTAAATTTTAATAATTTGCATTTAAAAAATTCTTAAACCTATTTTATTATAAACAATTAAAGTTTTTACATAAAAAAATTAATACTGCCAGGAAATTTATTTAGAAAAAAATGACAATGAACGCGCATTTCTATGCAAATGTAATCAAAATATACTAAAACTAGAAATTATAAATTTATAATTAAAAAAAAAATAATAATAAATATAAAAACAAAATTAAAATTAAATTTTTTTTTAGATCGAAATATAAACTAACGTTGTAAATATAAAACCTAAAAAACAGTTGAAAATTATAAGTGATAGAAAGTAAACAACAAATTTACTAATCTGAGGTTATAATAAATACTAATAGATAAAATTGGAAACAATGTTAAACAAAAAAAATTTAAAAAAAACTTCATCTTCTCTGCACGGAAGAGATTGAGGGGCTGAAGAAATATGTAGTCTGCGCTGCGTTTCTTTTAAAGTTAGTTCATCGTTCTTAAAAATTTAACAAAAAAAGTTAACATAAAAATATAAGAAAAATATATTATTAAGCAAACAAAAAACATTTGCAAAGTAAAATTATATTATTACAAAGAAAAAGTACGAAATCAATGTACAATTTGAAAAGGAGAAGAATTTTGAGATTGACAGGCCGTTTCGCTCTCAGTTTTTAAGATACAATTTTCCTTAGAATCTTTAGCTGAAATAAAAATTAAGCCGATTTATATTTACTTTATCGCTTTTATTATTGCTAAAAAAATATAAACTAATAAAAAAATTCATAACTTAATTTAAATTTAAAAATACTAGAAATAAAAGTATGTTCTATTTTTCTATGACTAGTATTGTTTTACTTAATATTTATAATGTAAATAAAGAAAAAAATTGAAATTCATTACATTCGTTAACTTATTTTAACTTTATTAATATAGTTTTAAATATAATAACGGTGGAAATATATTACACAAAATTTTATAAAGAAAATAATTAAATAGTAGCTTAAAAAAAAATGTTGATCCTCAGTAACGCCAAAATAATTGAGTTTGTAAAAAGTTATACTTATCAAAAATATTTTATAAAATTAATAACAATATTTAGATAATATTAAAAAAAATTATTTTTTAATTCACTGACAAAGTTTAATATTAAAAAAAAAATTAATAATGATTAAAACATAATTATACGAATTACTTTCAAAATAATAATAAAAATTAAACTTTAAAATTTTTAATTATAGTTAATGTTTTGTAAAAGAATTCTTAAAAAAGTCAAGTAGCAAATATTAGTTAAATCTCAGAAACGGCTGAATAATTAAGAGTTTTTACAAATCTATTAATTTTTTTCAAAAAAGTAAAAAAATAAGTAGTTAAAACAATTAATAAAATTAAATATACTTGTATCGGTGAATTTTTATAACTTTAATTAATTAATAATATTCTATATAGTTAAAAAAAAGATTAAAAAGTAATTATAATTAAATAAATTACTTTTTATAATAGTCACAATATAAGTAAATTTTTATTTATTTATAATAAAGGTAAACATTGTTAAACCAACTTTGAAATAAAAATTCGTATTAGAGGATAGTGTTAATTCTAAGTAACTCCCGATTTATTAGGGGTTTGTAAAATAAAATTACTAATTAATATTAACTAAAAATAAATACCTTTTTTTTGTTTAACGTTAACGTTATCTTTTTTATCGTCACTCGGGCTATAAGTTCTACTAGAAGTAACATAGTCTTCTTTTGGATGGAGTACATTATCTCTACAAATATCTACGGTTTTACGTTTTCTTCGTTCTTGACGGCCACCAGGTATTATATTACTTCTATTTATATCAAGTTTTATTATTTTAGACATAACCTCTCCACTTTTTACGTAAGATGGCCGAACCGCCTTAGTTTGCTGATATTCCTATGTATTTGTGAATGACCTCTTCTGGCGTTCGAATTGGATCAAAAATGTAGTATCAACAACGCTGATTGGTCACTATTGAGTTGGAAGGTATAGATTTTTTGTTATAAAATCATGTGACGCCCTATTTTACAGTTTTTTTTACAGTTTGAGTCTTGCTGGAGCATTATTTATTGTCGTCAATAAGCTAGTTTGAATACATAGATACAAAAATTAATTTTTTTATAGGTCTATTATTAACAGCTGTTAATTGCGGCTTTATCTAATGGGCAGAGTACTGACCATCCTTCACCTAAACCAAGATGCGTTTGATATGTTAAATTGTATAACAAACTGTACTATTTTTTTTTTTGTGCTATTACAATACGTGCCACAGTTATTTTACTTTGTGTCCAGTTGTTTTTCTTCTTCTTACTTATTGTTTGCCATCATATACTACAAAAGTTTATATATTCATAGCTTTCTTTCTTAACACAACATAAAGAGGGGCAATATCTTTGCCCGAACGCTAGTGTTGGCGAGTTAGGCCCCGGCCCTGGACGCATATGCCATGGACAGCTTGTTGTACAACGTAAACTTGCTTTATTTGTGCAATGGACAAACTCTGCTACTAAAGTAAGTTTTTTGCGGTGCTACGATAGTATAAAGTCGAAAACTGAAGACACCAGGGATTTTCCGTTTTTTAAAAAATTAACGAGGTCGAGATTGAGCTAAAAATTTACTTTCACAGCGAGACGGGCCATTATAAAGGGTAAAAATTAGAAGGCGGAGAAACTTCGCCCGTGTGTAAAGTATACAAATCACCAAGGTGGAAGAGTAACAATTTAAATACGTAGTGCCATCATACTGGAATCGAGAGTTGTCGTCGTACCTCAGCGGTTAAGAGTATTGACGCGCGTACTCATGAAGTATTAATTGGAGATGATTTCTATATTTAACTTTATAATACTCTTGTTTATTCTGAAGGCTAAAATTTTTAAACTAGAATCTCACTGTTCTATTGTATTAACACCATGGCGAACTTTAATTGTACCCTTTTCAATACTTACCGATATTTTTAAACATCAACTCATTCACATTCACTAGCTTGTAATGAACATACTGAAAATCCTTCTTTCCTGGTAATATATTATTGTTGAGCAATTCGTAACATAAAGTAGTACAATTTTATATCCACATTTAGTTTCAAAATAACTGATACTGTGCTTAAAAAGCACTCCGCATTTATCACTACGAAATATAGAGATCTTTACTACGTCAAAGCCTCTTGTTATAACCATAGCAATAAAATGAGCTTTTAAAAAAATTAACTTCCTATTTATAATACCATATTATTTACGCTTAACTCTTCAAGTACTGCCCTCCACAATTTCTATTTCTGCTTTTCTATAAAACTTTCATTAACGCTTATTATATCGCCTCGCGTTTCATTAAATGATTTAGAGCTTCATTAATCATGTATTGAATACTACAATAGATTAGCTAGTCTTCCGCTGAAGTAGCATTCGATTTTAGATGTTACTTCCAACTAATCTTTTGACCGTCTCACAGTGTTGATGGCGAATATTAAATAAACTTTGTATAATCTTAAAAGCCTCTTGATTCTTTTCGGCCCTTGCTAAAAAGTTGATTTTTGGTTAAGTTTTGTTCCATTTAGTACTAATTATCGTTTCTCCGCCAAAAAATACTTAAACCTATTTTATTAATTTCTCATTTTATATATAGAAAATCTAATATTATTTAAAATTAATGTAAAATGGAAGATGAAATAGATAAAATCAAAATATAAATTGAAATAAAAGTGTACAATAAAAAATACGTGTGAAAAAGGTTAATAGAACTAAACTTGAAGACTTGATTATTATGGAAGCCTAGTGGAATTTACTATAAAAACGGATTCAACGAAATGATTAAATTTGGTATCACTACCAATCAACTTCCCTTTATTTTTAATTTAATTTTTAAGAATACTTATTAGTAATTTTTTTGTCGTTGTATTCGCCCTCACACGTGGTATAAATTAAACAGTAATCTGTTGATAATAACCACCATATAACAATTATTACAACATAATATCCCCAGGGATGATCAATCTCGTTTCCTGATTGAGGCGCAATACCGGTATATATTTTTCTTTTGAAGCTCAAAAAGATTCATGGGGGAGTGCACTGGTGAAAAGCACTTCAACTTGTCCGATGCGAGAAGTCAATCTCGGGGAACTTGTTTAGTACGGCGGTGGGTGACCAGAAGGCTAACAACCACGTACTGCATCCCCTCCTTGAAATTGGGACAGTGATGATACTCCTCGAGATTTTCGGGCACCTATTTGCTCTCGGCTTATCGATAATCTGCAAAAGTACTTAATAATAAAAAAAAAGTTCATCTCGTTCTGCTTCTTCCTCTTGCTAACGTGTTTTTCCTTATTTTTATTTTAAGGCCGTTTAGCTGAAGTATTTTTTAATTATTTAACGAATTAAAAGTCCATTTGCTTATTTTTAATATACTTATATTAATTTTAACTTTTTTTAATTTACTTTTTTTATTTCTAAAAACATAGATTAAAAATTATTTTTTCTTTTTTTCGTTGCTTCGTCTTTATTTTAAAATATTTATATTTATATACATAATCACTTATCGTGATGACCAGCTTTCTTTTAGAGTTTGATGGAGGTAACTTTCAAGTTAGGAAAGCTAGAATCCTTGTCCAGTCTTCCGAATCGGGCTGTAATTGGGTTTATCTGCGTATAGAGCCTGACTCAGTCGGTCTGGCAGTTACGTCTAGTCAGAAGTTGAAGGCACATAATATTTTGGCCTTGTCCATGACGACAAAATCCATGTGTCACGTAATTACTACGTCTTTTGCTGAAGCGTGAGACTCTTTACTTAATCCCCTCAAAAACATTTTTTGCTGAAGAAGAGCTTATATAACTTGCAATTTGACATTTCGAAACTGTTTAAAAATATGTAAATCAAATAAGGTTTATCGGAGGCCAGTATCAATTTGTACGGGAAAAAGATTCTGATATGGACGTGTTAGTCGCTTTTTCTTAAGGGCCTCCAGAAGAATACAGCAACGTTATTGATAAAATAGAGTCCCAAATTAACCCTACTTTTCAAGCTGCCCTTGCATTCATATTAGACATGGAAGCTTAAACTAAAGATACCTGCGGAAGACACAATGGTGAAGGTCAGCAAGGTGGCAACTCCGAAGCCTAATTGGAAAGGAGCAGGGTAATGTGGGACTTGCAAGAAACAATTTTCTGAATGCGTCTGTCCTAAATGTAATATTTGTTTCCGAAGGGGTCGATCTTACTAAACTGCCGAACGCGCTGCCCTCGTTATATAAACTTTATTAATAACTGTACTTTTAAGTATAAATTTAATAACGCCTCTCAGTTCCGCTCATTGTAAAAAACCAGCTCTATCATTTCGAAGCAAGCCTTATCGTGATTTACGTAAAACAATTTTAGTGGATAGTGGTGCAAGTCTTCATTTATTTCATGACTTAAGTTATTTACCTTTTTAACGTCGACTTTAACATCCATTATAACAGCCGACAGGAAAGGTCATATATGCGACCTATAAAGATGTCGTTAATATCTTGGTCTGAGGTCACAAGCCTATTTTTTCAAAGACGTTAAAGCTAATCTTTTGTCAGTTCGTAAGCTTATAGAAACGGGTACAGTGTCCAGCTTAACAGCGATAAAACTAATTGAATTAGTGGGAACAACAAATATTTCTTTCTCTCTTTATACGGATGTGTGGAAAATTACAGCTTTTGTTAATATTGCATTGTTAAGGGAAGCTTGGTTATTTGGCATCAGTAGACTAGGTCATATATCTCAGAAAGTCACCTTACTATTCCCAAGAATGAATTGGCTAACAACCTTAATATAATTTAAAGTCAATATAATAGCTCTATCTGTGAAAATTGTCAACTAGGCAGTGTAAGAGAACAAAATATTCAAAAAACATCAAGCACACGGCACTAGTGTATTTGAAACTTTACAATTTAATATCGTTGGTCATCAAAACCAACTACGTTCGGAGATTAAACATATGCTATATGATTAATACGTGTATACAGCGATTATAGAACTTGGTACTCGGTGAAGTATGGGAATGAAGGCTCCCGCTTAATTTTAAACTTTATAGACGCTATAGTAAAACTAGTAAAATGTGTCCTATAAACCTTCACACTGTCAACACTGAAGAATTTTCTTCTAAATTTCTTCTTGATAAGTTAATGAGTAGAGGAGTCACAGTGACTTACACGTCCCTTACACTCCACAAAGAAATGGAGTTGCTGAAAGAAACAAAAAGACGTCATTTAACATGGTAAGAGCCCCTGCTATTCGAATCTGGTCTACTCAAGCTATTGTGAAGGGAAGTTCTTCTACACTATATTCTTAATGATATTACGTCATCTTTATAGCCTCAGTCAAATGCACATGAACTATTGGAGGAGAGAAAGTCAGACTTGAAAAAGTTTCGCATTTTGGGTGCAAAATCTTTTATTATAAAATTCTGTTAAGTTCAAGCTGGATGAACGAGCTAAAGTAAGATACTTTGTGGGTTTCGATTCATCTAGATCCTGTTACAAAATTTTTAATAAAAATTCACTTTAGGTCGCATACGGTAGAGAAGTTCTTTTTGAAAAAAAAAAGATTCTTTTTCAAAGATAAATTAGTTAATGGGTCGAAAAATAACGACTCCTGTACGTACCTACAGGCGTCCTACTACACTCGACAGATAAACTTAAGTCTATGCAACTGCATTAGAATCAAAAAGTGGCTCCTGTGATAACCATTCACCATGTGTCAACCCTTCTTCCAGCAATATAGACACCCAAAATGACGTTGGGAGAGAGGATTATTGGTGGTAAACGCACCAAAGCTGGTGAGTATTGTTCTCTAACTAAACTTTGTAAATCTAAAAATATTGGCACCAC